AAATATGTTACTAGTCTGGCATCCCGGTAGAAATAACACTCGGTGCCTGAGTTATTTCCTTGACGATGTTTCGATCATTCGTTTAGTTGAGCTGTCGCGGTACGAGACAATCTACGTTTCAAATACATAACGCCATCAAATAAAATTTCTGAGGTTTTCCTTATTTATCCATGGAATTTGCGGTGTAATGCCGAATCCTGTGAATTATTGAAATTTTTCAGCCATCGTTTTGCTTCTCAGTAATTGCCACGCTTCGTAAACCCGCACGCTTATACGAATGGAATAAATTAATATATCTTCTGTACTTCCGTGAGAACTTCAAGAGTGAGACAAATTTGACGATTTAACTCCATACTCGGCATTGAGAGAAGAACTGCTTCTCACTTCCTATGTTGTTGTATCTCACATTCTTGTCTATTCGTATTATGGGCCGCCATTCTTTCTTTCCCACATGAATATGAACGTGAAACTTTATTTTAAACTTCAGCAAAAACTTTCAAATATTATCACATAATAAGTATTCCGTTATGAAATAATTCAAATTCAATGGCGAAGCATATTTTCTCGAAATCACGAAACCAAATTTTTTAATGGAGCATAATATATTAGGTACCAGTTTGTGTAAAAAATTGTGATAATAATGTTTACAAGAGGCAAAAAATGAAGAAATACTCACATTTTCTACTCACATCTTGATAGTTTAAAGCAAATAAATCTACCTTTAGTTGTCAGGTAGCCATCAACTATGTTAGAGGCATCATTTGGAACTGTCGTGAAGTTAATTTTTAAATTAAAACGAAGGAGACAGCAGTGATCCCTACCTACTCCATCAATGTTTATATACAACGCATTTTATTTTAATATGGTTTCGCACCAATGACAATGTTTCGGAAGAAATTAATTAGTTTAAACATCATGAATTATTTTTATTCGTTCAATATATGGCGTAAATCGTTGCTCTTTTGCTCAGCAACAAAATGGCATTTTTTAATTACAATTTTTCGTTTTATTCGTAGACAATTGATTTTAATCTCTTTGCTTTTAGAATTATCTTTAAGCTAATTATCAAAAATAAACACATTAGGCATGGAGGTAAATTGTTATACTATACCTGGTGGTGACAACTATTCGTAAAAAGCAATCCATATATTTGCTTTGCGAAATAAAGCTCCTGACGATGATATTTAACATAATTTGTGTTTAATATGTGAACGTCAAATGTTTCCTCGGTGTCTTCCTCCTAACTTCAGGTTTGATTTTTTATGCTTATCATTGTGTTTTTCAACTGCTGCATTGTATGCTAAACAACTTCCACATCACAGGATTATTTACGCATATATGGAAAACCATAATATTACCATTGAAATGAACTGCAAAAGTGAATAAATTTATTAATTTGACTACAACAAGATCAACGAAAACATTGAACTAAAAAAAATGTTTGAGGGCAAGGTGACCATATCTGCGTACGTGCCATGATGGCTTCCTCGGTCTGACGGGACCACAGCTAACGGACACACCGGTGTGACTGCCGTTATGCCCGCACCGGGCCCGTCTCCATAACTGAAACTAATTTGCCACCGAATTAAATCAATAATTTTAGGTTATGCTGTTACTGAGCAGCTCTGATTGACAATTTTTCTCTTCAAATGTATTGGGGGTAAATACTGTGGCCGTTTCTTTCTCATTCATTCCTGTTCATATTTTTGGATATGGCAAACAATTCCTTAAAATTTCGTGGCATTATCATTTGTGATTCCACTGTTTGTGGCAATCGATCCTGAAACAGATTAACTTGTAACAAGCCACATACAGTATATACTGACCATCAACCGTCGTGGGGCGCAAGTTTCCCGGATGCTCGTAGCTTTTATATTTCTGTTTCTGCTAAAACTCCATGATTGAATTGGACCAGATCACCACAATTACAATCCGTATCATTTAACTCCTTATAGTTTGCTGAAATTCCTATCCGTTGTCCTAACGGACACGACACTGGCAAGAGCTTGGTAATTTCGATTTTGCAAACTTGGAACTTTCCTTGAGTTATCATACTTTAATAATAATGCTTTTAATTTGCTGCTATACCTTTTTATAAACCCAATAAACTATTCATGCCATCGAGCACCCTCGTAGATTAGAAGTACGATTATTGGTTGAACAGCTTCTGGCTGATACACTAAAAACCATCGATACTCATTTATAGTTAGCGATCATTTGAATATTTTGCAATTTTTCTTGCGAAAAATCTCTGGTACAAACACTATCCAGTAATGTAGCAGGGCAGCCGCTGTTGCCGTAATTTTATTAAATTGCTTGTAATAGATTTTTGCAACAAAAATTTGATAGATGAAGAAAGCCTATGCCCTTGAGATGATAAAATAAAGCAGGCCAAAAATCTCAGAAGATTAAAAAATATCGGTTAAAAAAACACTAAATGAACTGAAATTTTGGTTCGTTGTCGAGTTTGACCAGAAAATGGACCAAGATTTCACCATTTTAGAGGCGTACCGTTACATCACAACCTCGTAATGCTATTAGAACAAATCAATATAACTCCAAAAAAATTACTGACGAAAACCCTTCGAATGAGGGCAAAATTTTGTCTAATTTTATGCTTTAATTTATAAAGTTATATTTTTTGTTAAAATATACACAATAATCCCGTGATTTTCTCCACGAAGACGAACTGGACCGAAATTGAAGTAGTGCGACGCTTCCACGAATAATTTCGGAATTGACCCTTTTTGAACCTCAATAAATATACTCGGTGACTTTACAGATATCGATCAAACTTGGTAAACCTAAAGCAAAAAGTACAGTCCTTAATCTATTTTGCCTGAGGTACATACCTAACGTGTATATAAAACGTATCTTCACCTCAAATTACGGAGAACCGCTAACAAAAGGGTTATCCCTAAAATTGTATGTTTTCTAATAGGCCATCAAAGAACTTTTCAGCATAGACCTAGTAATATATAATATAGTATTTTTAATTGTCTATAGAAATGTGCTTATATTATCAGCACGTGACATTTATAAAAAAATTTCATTGACAGTGAATTAATAATTGAAAGACCTCTTTACTACCATGATAGATTTTTCGTCATCTATGTAGCATGTAGGCTCCAAAAAATTGTAAAAAGTCGTATTATGTTCACAATTCAAGTATGATTATCATGATACGACAATTTGTATCCCACTATTTAGCTGCATGATCGATACTCTTGATAAAGAATACGTGTTTAGAATATAGATGAGAAATTTGTTTATAACGAATAGGCGTCTCGGCTCGAACTCTGCTAAAGCATCTCAACTTGACCTTGAATCGGTTCTCGTACCAACTACAATCGAAAAATGTATAGTAACACCTACTTACCCCTGCCCCTGCCACGTAAGCATCTGAATTTCTTCTATATCATGAACAAACAGCGATCTTAAATATAATTTAATGAGTATCATTTGAGTACAACTTGATTTACGCGGAAACTCATGTGTCAACATCGCTGGAAGACTATCATTGCTCATGTGTTTTCGTTAAATACGAGACTTCTTATCTTCCCAAACTGAATATTATTGATAAGTGGTGGATTAATGTCACGTTACGTTAGCAAGTTGAGATTACTTTCCCGTGAGAGTATTCCGTGCAGGTGCTATATCTTTCAAAACTATAGAAAAATCCTCGTAAAGTACGAATTATGTGTACAATAATAATACAAATTCTATTCGTGTGTAGAAAGTACACAAGACCTATGGACTACCTGCAAGTAGCCTTAATAGAAAACTTGCTCACTAGACGCTGATAATAAACATGTCCGGCCTCTGCTTTCACCTTCTGAGTTTCTTTTTCAACCTAGATATTATTTAGTTATAAATTCAATTTCTATTCCTGGAGATCAACCTAACAAATAAATTAACCTTGTTGTTCGGCATTCTTTAAATGCCCTCTTACAAGCCAAAGTACGGCTCTTCATTATCGTATCTGCGGAAAATTAGAACAAACAAAGGAATGAGGCGGCGAGAATCATCGTTATCGAGTATATTACGCATCAAATGTACTATTCGTTAAGTCCCATGAGCACAGTACTTCTCAGTTACTTCATTGACTAATTAATGTGTGTACACAGTCCGCCTCCAACGACGCAAATGCCACCGAGGTTCTGGCGTCTGTCACCGATACCCTTGCAGTTCGCATAGACTACTCTCATTGACATCAAGTTCGCTCATACTGCTTCTTATAAAACATCTATTAAGATCATAATATTGTTAAAACTGTTCTCAGCAACTACTCCTAGTGACACGTTTACTCATTTGAGGAACGCTGTGCTCAATGACATACTGTGTTTGCTAAGAAAATACACTTTATCTAGTTCACTATGTACGCGTTTACTTGGGGTTGTTACTCTCGCCGACGTTAACTGGTCCACTAACAGATGCTGCTCTCACTGATACAAATGATGCTGCCGCCGCGATGCGAGTTCACTCTCGTCAGACGCTGGCCAGAGTTCGTACCAGAGCCTCGCCATGGCAAGTCGTCTCTGTAGCGTAGCAGTGCTACCTGTGACACTACACTCTTGAAATTAAAAAAAGTTAGAGCGGGTGGTGAATTATAACCAATTATAAATTGAGTTGTGTAGGTGGTGAAATTTGAGTTGTTTTTTTTTTTAGTTTGAGTTGTGAGTGTCTGAGTTAGAGCAGGCGATGAATTTTGTACCAATTATAGAATCAATTTAAAGGTTCTTTATTGAAACTTGGTTTTCTTCCATGATTTCCGGATTAAATTATCCCCATGTACGGTCCAATTTTAAAAATGCAGATTTCAAAGTGATGCAGATTTCGTGCACTACTGTACATCTCGTTCATCAACAATTGTTTGTGAGCAACTGCTTAGTTCTCTGCTGAGGAATTGACAAATGAAATACTCTACGGAGTAAAATGATGAGCATTAATTTTATTTAACTCTTTCAAATTGGCAATTAGGTCAAGTTGTCGTAACTGAAACGTTTCGCGAATTTCATCTCCTGTTCTTCTCTCATTCTTTTCATACTAAATGCTCTACCTTTGCTGTAAATTGTGTACGTTTTAAAATTCAAAAGTGGATCGAAATATCGGGTGTAGCTCTCAACTTGCATGTTGACTGACTGTGTTTCGTTTGAAATATAATTGAATAAATTCTCTCCACCGCTAGACACAGGCTACATTGAAAGAAGCACTTAGGAGGACGGTAACCACTTTATGAACGAAAATTTCCTACTCGGCGAGTTTCACAAGCCTAACAAACGACTGAGCTAGCAGTCGTCTGGCCCCTGCAGTAGAAGTTGTAGAGATAAAGCAAATAATTAGTCTGTGCCACAAGATGGGCCTAAGTCCGGGCGTGGGCGAGGGAGGGCAGCGTTCTACCGGTAACATGAGACTACTTTATGATCTGGTCAAGCCGGTGCGAGACGGTGAGTCTTGTATTATACATATTCATTATATACAAGATAAACATTCTACACGACCTTTGCTTGTATCAGATTGCAGTCAGATCCTTGGATTATTAACACAATCATTATTTGTTAGTCTTTATCCATTTGAACTTACTGTACCTAAAAATAATCAAAGTATAATCTTACAGTCCTCTAGGATTTAATGCAGATGAAGCAATTTTTTGTGAAGAAAATGTCAAACTTCATTGATTGTTATCAACAAATTCATATTCATCACCTGCCACATACCTGTACTCGTGGAGGTGGGTTCAGGTGCTTCAGAAGCTATCTTATCAGCTGACAGAAAGCATCTCGACAACAGAAGTATAACTGAATCATGACAAAGTCCACTTGTAGTCTCGTACACTATATAGAATATAGGATCATCGAGCGCGCTCTAACTAAAAGTGCTACTAGGTATTGCATAAATTACTTTGTAAATATGGAATTTAGACCTTAATCATTAAAAAAATATTGTTCATGTTCAGCGTAACTCTTTTTTTGTCTACTGTTCTTTGTAAGCATGTATTGTGCATAACGTCCAAATTCATTATTGTTTTCTAAATAAACATGCGTTTCCTCTTCCGGCTGTCGGTATTGCAGCGTCTAAATCAGTGGTTCCCGAAGTGGGCAATATCGCCCCCCTAGGGGCGGCGGAAAGATTTTGGGGGGCGATAAGGAAGAAGAGGGCGGTAGGGGGGCAATATGGGGGGCGGCTGCCCGAAGTCAATGTCAGAAATTTGAACGTTTGTCAAACGATTTGTACACAACACGTGCAGCACATGACTCCCAGCGATGGTTTTTTCTGTTTTTTTTTTCACCTAGCTCTCCAGGGTTTACGTCTCGGACGAATTACCGGCCGGACTCGCGGCCAGTCTCACGGCCAATTTCCAAATTCAATGATCAAGGAATATCTCTCAAACTAATGAACTTAACTCGATGAAACTTGTACACGTATTCATTAGGACCTAATGGTAATGTTTTGCTCGTGAAAATTGTTTGAATTTTGTCATCGTTCGTTTTTGCCATAGTTATATGCCAATACGGGCCGAAATTCACAGTGATCAAGTAATTTCTTCCAAACTACTGCACAGATTCGAACGAAATTTTGAATTTACAGTCCTAACTAAAAATTTTTGATTGTGCCTTCGTTCGCGAGTTTTTTTTCATTTCACCTTCATTCGTGATTTAAACAACAATTCGTGCTTAAATTCGCAGTAATCAAGAAATTGTTTCCAAACTACTGAACGGATTTGAACAAAACTCAGTATTTAAATAACTAACCTCAGCAACAGTGATGTTTACATTTTTTCTTTCTGCCTTCGTTTGCGAGTTATACGGCTATACGTATACTGATTCTGATTTATAGAAGCCATCGATCGACCGGTAGAATAGCTGGTCGTTCCTACTATATCTGTATAACTCGCAAACGAAAGCAAAATGGAAAAATTGTCACGAGCTAAACATCACTGTTGAGAGGTTATGTATTTTTATAGAAAGTTTTGCTGAAATCTGTTCTGTATTTTAGAATAAGTTTCTTGATCGCCGCGAATTTAAGCGACAAATTGACCGGCGATACGGGTCAAATATAAGGAAGTGTGAAATCAAGAATGACGGTGAAATGAAAAAAACTCGCAAACGAAGGTAAAATCGAAAAAAATTATAAGCTAAAAAATCACCGCTTGGTAGTTAGGAATGTATATTAAAAATTTCGTTCATATCTGTTCAATAGTTTGGAAGAAATTCTTTGATCAATGCGAATTTTGGTCTGTTTCGCAATATACAAGCAACTCACGAATGAAGGTGAAATTTAAAAAAATTTGCGGCCATCGCCGTTAGGTTCTGATGAATGCGTGTTCCAAGTTTCATAGAGCTGCGTTCATTTGTTTGGGAGATATTTTCTTGAAAATTGAATTTGGAGATTGGTCGTGAGACCGGCCACGAGTCCGGCCGTAAATTCGCCCGCGACGTCCTTGGCTTCTAGTGCTGAAACAGTTAAAACAGCTGAAAAACATGTTGGTTCACTAAATGGTGTTCTATATGTGAAATACACATTTGTGTTTAACCTTTATCTTTTAAAATTTCAGCGTACTAAATTTCAAGAAAGTGGCGTATGTCTGTGGGGGGCGCTAGAAATTCACTAGGGAGCCAAAGGGGGGCGACAGCCTGAAAAAGTTTGGGAACAACTGGTCTAAATCTTTGCTAATTGTCGAATATTAAGCATATGCTGTTTTGAATCTACTGGTGTCAGCAAATAATTGAGGCAGCAAATTTGTATCAATGAACTGCTTAGGTAGTCAGTTCTTGTGATGCAAACCTAAATAAGAAAGTTTTAAGCATTATTCTTATCTCCCGGTATCAGTATTTCACTCGTGATCTCCACATTATCGTTTCATTTACTCTAGTGTGAAAGTGGAGATAACCAATTCATCATCAATAGAAATGTTTACATATAAGGAATTTTTTCCAAAATTATTAAGTGATTTTGATTTTTCCTTTATTCCTGTCGGTATCCAAATAATTTGCTGTGGCACTTGCTGCCTATATTTCTTTGCTTACTTATCATGGCTACAAAAGTGAAAGTAAAAATTCCATGCATGCATTCCAATCCATTCTATTTTATTAAAGGCTAAGATAATTTGATATACTAATATGAATAATTTTAAAGATATGTTTTAGTAATAATTAAAAGTCAAGTAATTAAAACCAATATAAAAAATTATTTGTTGTTGCCCAGCTTTTTTCTACGCAATCGCAGAGACAATATTTGACTTTATTCGTACGTAGCAAGTTACAAATGGCTATTACCACGTCACCTCATGCTATTTATTATCTGACTCGTTCCAGACCATGCCACGCTGCAAGCAACCGTCGGATTGACATTTGTAATCCTCCTGCTGCACTCACTATACCCGCGTATAAAAGAGTGGTGGGAATGCCGTAACTTTGCTACCAAGACTTACCACACCGACCACTCGAAGTCGCCTCGACCCGATGTGGGGCCCTTGCCGTACGAGAACATGCCTAGGAGGGCGGGACGCTCGGCCGAGCGTCTAAGGGTCGTTTTTGATAACCCGGTGTACCTTCATCAATACGTCGCGCACGGCCACATGAAGCTCGGTCAGATAGTATATCAATCGAAATAAATAACGATGAATTTATGCGTAGATTCAAAATAAATTCAGTTCCTCAAATTTATTCTACTCTGGAATACGTGGTTTCTTCATTCGGTGAATATTTTGTTGTGAAATTAAACTGCAAAAACTACAAAATGTTCTTCACTTCAAATCTTTCTGGACTTCAAATCTTTCCCGTTGAATATTTTACCTGGTGCAAAATTTTCGTCAAAATTCAGTTTTTCGTATTAACCATCAAATTACTAGAAACATTCTGCGAAAAAAAAAAACATTCATAAAAATTTTAGCGACGTCGGTAATTTTTAAAGTTGAAAATTAATAATAAATTTGTAAACTGAATCTTAATGATTGATTTAATTTTGTGTGTTCAGGTCCGGTGTTCCGGGACGGTTTGGGCGGCCCGGTAGACATGGTGTTCGTGGCGGACACGTCATGTCTGTCGGCCGTGCACCGCGCGAGCGGCAGCTACCCCGGCCATGTGGTGCCCGACGCCTGGACGCTCTACCTCAAAATCAGGGACAAGAAGAGAGGAATTTTCTTTATGTGCGTGTGCAAATAATATCAGACTGGAATCTAATAGAACTGATTTATCAATTAAAATCATAAAATATGTACTGAACATATTCCATAATAACTGTGAAGTAAAAATATATCAGGCGATTAATATAAACTTGATATATAATTAACATAATTTAAACTATAACTTAAAGTATAACATAATCTTAATATTAATATAATATATTTTCGAATAGGGACGGTCCAGAGTGGCTTGAACATCGCAGGATTTTGAACCAACGCGTGCTGAGGACGAGTAACAGTAACCGAGTGCTGCCTCAGCTCTGTGCCAACACAGACGCCCTCATGCAGCACATGTGGGAGGAGCAGACGCAGGGCAACCTCCAGGCCAAGCTCATGGTCCAGCTCTACAAGTGGTCCTTAGAATGTTAGTCACCGTTACTCGGTTGTCGTCAATATATCAATATATTATTTTAATTTCACACTAATTCTGCAGAATATGATAATCACAGTAATCAAATTAATCATGTCTCAGTTTGTCCGTTAGTATTTATATGTCGGAGCCGAACAGTCTTTGCATGATCTCGGTATTTGAGCCGCCGTCATATCTCCAGCAAAACTTGAACTTTAATGCAAACTTCCAAGTTCGTTCTGTCACAAATTCTCTCTATCGTTAAAATCATCATTAAAAACTGCTGTATCAGTCAAATATGTGTTTATTCGCCAGCTGACTTGAAAACACTTGTCTAGAAAAATATTATTTTTATCCAAGTTCATAAAATGTTAGCTCACCACCTCACAATTATTTAATGATTAATCACTTTATTTCACGCTCTATTAATTGTTAGTTTCACCGTGAGACACTTGCTTTTAAATACCACACTCTATCCAGTAATTTTCATTTTTTTAATTTCATATTAATTTTTGTTTGATGTTAATGACTTTTTTCGGTCCACGGTCTCAGGCATGTTCGCGATAGCGTTAGGCCGCTCGATATCAAGCTTCAAGTGCAGCAAGGAGCCCCAGTGTGACTTCGACGCCTTCGTGTCGGCGATCCACAACGTCTTCGAACACACGGCCGGCATGGGGCGCACCACCGCCACCAGCGCCATGGAGCAGAACCTTAAAGTCTGGAACGACTTTTGTGAAGCGTGCGATGTCGCGCTCCATGTGGGTGAGATCATTCAGGATTCGTGTGACGTCGCGCTCCATGTGGGTGAGATCATTCAGGATTCGTGTGACACCGCGCTCCATGTGGGTAAGATCACTTAGGATTCGTGTGGCGTCGCGCTCCATGTGGGTGAGATCATTTAGGATGCGTGTGACGTCGCGCTCCATGTGGGTGAGATCATTTGGGATGCTGTGGCGTCGCTCTCCATGTGGGTGAGATAATTTTGGATGCGTGTGACGTAAATTGCGACGCATGAACCGTAAATTCATTGCCGACAACTTTTTAAATAATAAATTGTATTGTAATAACGTCAACGACCATAAAACTGCTTTTAATGAGATCAGATCTGCTTAAACCGCTTAGCCATATCACCTCCCGCCGAAAATATGCAATGTGCTTACACGATATAGAAGACTTGTTCTCAATGCGCCCACCAGGTCCAGCAGCTATAAATATTCAATTTAAATGGTTCTATACGCTAAAGGCGCTCAGCATTATCAAAATAAGCAATATAAAGTGATAAATATTAGCGATTGATATGAATTGATAATAGTGAGCGGTTGATAAGTGGTAATACACAGTAACTATGCGGGAACTACAAGGGATACTCGATAAGAAGAAGTTCGGACAACACTGTCGGTCCGAGTTCATGGCATGGCGGTCAAAGTTCTGCTATGTTTACATAAATGACCGCTGCATGCCTCCATTAGCGAGAAAGAATAGACAAATTCGACTTTTGAGAATTTTAATCATTCTTCAATCTTTCTTGTACATCTCATTGGAGTTCATCGTGTCGCGTTCGTGGTAAAATAAGCTATGCTGCCATATATTTCGTAAATTTTCCTGAACAAACAAAAAAATGAGAACAGGTTTGATGAGCGAGATTTGGTATTAAAAAACCCTTTGGAGCTAAACTTGGAAGAGCTGATAGTAATCATTAAGTGGCTAAACCTTGTAAAAGCTTGATCCCATCTCGGGCATATTTTGAAGCAGCTTGACTGCCTCGTGTCAGCTCAGAAACTTACCGCATGGCTGGTATAGAAGTAACTTCTCGCATTTGTTGATATAACAATCAAGTTTACAGCCTGAAGTTTCTTTTGGGCTTGATGGATTTAGACCATATATAAGTTTCTTAGTCACGACGTATTACTATCGAGTTTAACTATGATATGAAAACAGATAACATTACAGTTGATTTATGTCATGCAATCTATTCCACATACGAGTCATGTATTCGCGTGGTCAGTTTTGCCTATTAATAAAGATTCGTTCCGAATGCAATCCGACTGCAATTTTTATTTTGGCGATATAAATTTTCAAAATAGTAGGAGATAATATCGAATTTAATCTTCATTTGCTTTGAATGCTTGGATTTTGAAATTGTGAATAATAAAAGTTTGTAGTATCACTTTTGACGATTTCTTGACGCCCCAGAATTATTATCTAATTCTAAACTAACACCATTTTTACAAGTTTTATTACCACGAACAAGTGCCACCTCACTTATCATCCAACAATGCAAACGAAATTATTTATCCGTATTCATGCTCTTTATTTTCAATTTCAAATAATGTTTTTAAATAATTTCTTTAACCATTCAGCTCTCCTTAGAGCGCGAAATTTAAAGTTACTGACAAATTTAGAGCATGAGCATGGCAATGCTTTGCTTCCACCTCAAACTTACTCAGCATATGTTGGATTTGTTTTTTACCTAAAAATAGGATGTATTAGATGTGTTTTTTACTTGGAAATAGGATGTATTGGACGTGTTAGAAATAACATGTATTAGATGTGTTTTTACTTAGAAATAGGATGTGTTAGGCATGATTTTTTTCCCAGCCGGTCGCTACATCAACGAGGCTGCAGAGGACATCAAGCTGCAGGACCAGACGGCGCCCGACGCAGACGCGTGCTTGCTGGAGCGCCTCATGCTGGACGACGGCGTCTCTCAGGACATGGCAGTGCGCCTCCTGTCAGACCTGTTCCTGGCTGCTGCTGACACGGTGAGTGTTCCTGGCTGCTGCTGACACGGTGAGTGTTCCTGGCTGCTGCTGACACGGTGTTTCTCACTGCTGCTGGCGCTAAAGATGTTAACTTCCTACAAGGGACAAATTTAATGACGAGAGATATTTAGCTCCACGATTACTTCCTTATATTCTGTTTTCCATGAATTTTTTGCTTATTCGTGAAGTTCATCGATGCCAATAATTTGTGTCGGATGCTTTGCAGAGTGTTTGGACAGCCGTGTGGCTGATTTACGTGAGCGCCAGCCATGTGTCGTACGCCAGCGCGGCGCGACAAGAGCTGTACCAAGTAACTGGTCGTCAGCCCGCAGGTCTGTGGCGCAATGGTTATCGATTGGTGTTCGTTAAACTTATCATATCATGAAATATTTTCAGTATTGAATAATTATCTGCTTTTGTTGCGCAATTCTTATGCAGTTAGTAACAATCTTGAAACTACTCAGAGATAAAGGAGATGATGACAGCAATATAAAAATTTTTAATACATATATTGTAATATCATGTATCAAAAAACACTCGAAAATTCGTTACTCATAAGCCATATAACTTTGGGTGATTCTTCATAAGAAACTACCTCATGGTCACGGCATGTTATAAAATTATTAATATTGAATTTCAAACCTAAATCCACTCTGCTACGACTAAAAAAATCTTCAATTAAAATTATTTAAAAATCTCTTTCATAAATACGATATTTGCAAAATAGTTTTTTCTGGCAGATAGCGAATCCCCGCTGGAGCTGGGGCAGGAGCAGCTGCGCCGGCTGTCCCGCTGCCGCCACCTGCTGAAGGAGACGCTGAGGCTCTACCCCGTCGCGACCTTCCTTACCAGACTCGTGGAACATGAGTCTGTCCTGGGAGGCTATAGGGTGCCCGGCAATGTAAGTCTTCTTGTATCATATCTTCTCTCACTGCAACATTAGTATTGTAGTTGTAGACCATTCAGCATTGTATTAGTAGACTATTCAGTATTGTAGTTGTAGACTATTCAGTTTTGAAGTTGTAGAGTTTTGTATTAGTAGACGGCTATCCTTCATTGCACACATTCTGGTATTAGTGTTTGGAAACTTTATTTTTTCAAATTTCGTTTTACTGAATGAATCGCCAACAGCTCTTTTCAATTTCATGGGATGATATATTTTTGAAGTCACATCACGACCATAGATCTTTTAAGAGTAAAAATCGGATTGAGTTGCTGATTTACAGAACACATATCAGTGAAAATTTCATTATTCGATTTCATTTCAAATTTTAATAATATTTGTAAATGGCTAAATAGCAAAATAATTCCAACGTTTTAACTAATCCAGCTCGTCTTTTCTATTGCAGACAATGATCATCGTATCACTCTACAGCATCGGAAGAGACCCGAAGTATTTTTCGGACCCTGACACCTTCGATCCCACGCGATGGGCATCGGAGACTCTGCAAGACCTTAACACAACGCCCAAACGCAACAGCAGTGAAGATACCGATGTCTCTCAATGTAACCATGAATCTCCAGATTGTTCCTCGAAAGTTTGCGAGAAGCGTCATTCAAATCCTGACATCGAGGAGCAACCAGGCCAGTCGGAAAAAGTCCCCCTAACCCGAAGAAGCCAAAAGAACGTTATGAGTATGAACAAGCTTTCAGCTTTGCCATGGGGCATAGGGACGAGGAACTGTGTAGGTCGGACCGTTGCAGAGACATTGCTTACCTTATTCGAAGCGCAACTCTTGTGTCGCTACCATGTGGTCGTCAGAAATAAAAGCATACACATGAAGATGCGCATGATCAGCGTGCCTTCAGAAATGCTTGACGTGGTGCTGTACAAAGTACGCGATATGGAAGAGACAAAAGATGGAATTCTGAAGTGAAACGGGGAATCTAAACACGTATTCCATATCCCACAATTCATGCATGGTGACTGAATCAATCAGAAAGCAACACATTTTGAAATAAAACGAATAAAAATTTTTAAAAACCACGTTTTCTTAACGGACAAAAAAAGAAAAACATTTACTCTTACATAACATTACAGTTATGTAAAATGTTATGTAATGTTATGTATGAGTAAATGTTTTTCTTTTTTGTCCGTTGAGAATACGTGGTTTTAATTTTTTTTATTTGTTTTATTTCATTGATTTTAGTTTTACAACCACCAGAAAAACGCGGTTTTTTAAAATGTTTTTATATTTATTTATTTTCTACCTTTTAGTTTAGCAATTTTAGCAATTGTGAAACTAAGCGACAAAAAACTCAATTCACAACCGTGAATTTTTAGAGTTTTTTCTTTAATTAAAAAAATAATTATTTTAAATTGTTACTTCTGATGATCAAATCTTGAAGTGTTAGGCAGCATAAGCATGCATGCCAAATTTCAAGTTTCTAGGATCATCAGAAGTGCTCTAAATTAAGGTTTGAATTTTTGATGACTGACAGAGACGAAGCGAAGCTAAACTGCTGGTCGCTTAGGTAGCAATAGTGCACGCAAACTGACAATAAACTTCGTTTGTTCGAGTATCAATAATGAAAGAGGTCGTGATTCCAGGTGAAGAATTGTGTTGTTTGCAAATAACTTGCTCATGTCTTCCTATTAAGTCTGTCGATCTCTCTCGCACCGCTCGCTCAGGCATTACGTATATGTGATGAATGGTGGTTGTCTTTCTTCGCCCGTGTGTTCAATTAGAGCTAATATTATTCATTAAATATAAAGTAGAGTCGTTTTCAAACAATATTATTACGTTATTTTCTAAAATTTCAGTTTTTAGTTATAAGGTTTGGATAATTTTAGTAAATTTTTGTACTAATTCGATACTGAAACCATAGTTGAAACCATAAATTCGATACTGATGGCCTTATCTCTACTACGAAGTGTGAGAGGAAATTTGTCCATACCAAGCACAGTGAATTAATAAATTGTTTTATCTAAAATTTTTTAGTTAATAAAAGTACGATTTACTTAAAGAGTGTGGCCCTTTGTCAGCTACGAGAACACCCATTTGGATGCGAACTACATCCCTCATACGTGTAATTTAATCTTAGAAACAGTGTTAAGCAACAGTAGTAGTTCGTTCAACACAAGGTAATACTAATAATTATAACGTTTTTAAGAAATTTTTTGTATTTGCGCTATTCTCCATTTTGGAAATTAGGCAAATAGAACATTTCGGGCGAACTGATCCACTGAATATATTATATTTTCACGTACAACGATCGCGCTAATCAATGATGAAATCGATAACTTTAACAACTTAATATGAGAGAATATATAATTTGAATAAGTAAAATTTGCTTAAAGATGTTATTAATTTGTGATCTCAAACTGAAGTAAATTTTTCAGACGATTGCTGTCGGTAGAAATGAAATCAGCTTTAGTTCAACGAACGTATGGGAATTAAGTCAAAATTATTTCTTAGGTTTGACATTTCCAATTACGATCAATTACATCTAATAGCCAATTGAGTGACGCTAAAAATATTTAATGTATATGAAATCCCCCAATTACATTGTTTTCTTTATTAAGACTCCACGATTGTCATTGTGCAATTCGTTGCTAGCTTTTCTTACAGCATCTCTCGCATCATTAAACAGATTTCGGTGTAATCTTTTTTATGTAAATAAACAATTCTCTTGACCAAAATTCTGCGTCGTAGAAGCAAAAATCTTGAATTCATTCCGTGAATATTTTGTCAAAATAGATAATTTACAGAATTCAACAAATGTTTTTTTTTTCGGTCTAATACCAGAGAATGATTTTTATTTTCTGATTAAATTAAATCAAATCAATAAATTAATATTTTGGTCGAGATCATTCCAAATAACAATGTGCATTAACAACAATGCAGATATATAAGTTGGGACTTCCGTCCATACTTCTCGCTTCCATCGGATTTAACGAGTAATGCAAAAATACAAACATATTACATGTTGTTCTGGTGAGCTAGGGTGTGTTTCGTGTTTATGCACTGCATCAGGATATGGAAGATGGGGCCATCACTGCGTCATGATGTGGAAGATGAGCCCATCACTGCGTTATGATGTGGAGGAGGAAGCCATCATGCACATGAGTGGTCCACTCGAGGCATCTGTCTATAACCATAGCTCCTCGGGTGTTGTGTAATTTGATAGAAGTGTCATAGAATACTATGTATATGATGGTTCTTAAAATCAAGCTTGAAGTTACAAATGGCCTCAAATCAATCACATATTCATTGCTTGTTAGGGTGAAAATTGGATAAGCGATATATACATTGAGACATATCTAAGTTTCACCCATCATAATTCATATTTTAGGAGCTACACCGCCCAAATTTAGAATAGCTTCACAAAATACATTCCCGTTATCATTTTTACCAATTTTTCGCGACATAATCATGATCATTACGAGACTTAATTGCAAAAAAAAAAATTATTTAAGGCTGTGCGTTTGTCCAATATAAAAGTTACTTTGGCCCAAAAGTTCAGCTGGCAACCAAGAGCTTGAGTCGCCGGTTGCGTATTATACGAAAAAGTCGCCCGTTTGTCGCGGTCTTTGAGATCATTGATAAGTGACAGTCGCCACGAAGCCAGAGTTGCCGATGACAGAGTATGTGACGACCTGGACTCGGCCATCAGGCAGCAGCACGCGGTACATGCCCTCGGTGGTGTCACCGTTACGACGCTCAGCGTGACCGTAGTCGTTGCCTTCCTCCGGCACCTTGACGTCGTACGCGAACTCGTACTGCGCCTGGAAATATGGAATGTAAATAAGCATATACATAAAGTTTGATGATTTAAAGTTTGAATGGTTTAAAAAAACAGAGCTGAAATTTGAGGCTCAGTAGTCGTTATTCTCCTCTGGCACCTTCACGTCGTGCGTAAACTCTTATTGCGCCTGTGCGTATGAAGGGAAAATAAGAACATAACTAAAGATTGATAAATAACATGCAGAGGAGTGGAAAACTGAGCTCAAGTCGGAGGCTCCGTGAGAAATTGTATTTCGGGTTGAATTGTTACCTTTTTTATTCGACTGGAATGACTGCTACACACGTTTCATGTCATTTTCCATTTCGTTTGAGAATAAACTAAATTTTGTATAAATCATATCAATCCGACGATATTTGGCTATAAGTATTCGTATTGAGACTTTAACTTTGTATTTATTTTGGCATGGTCCAATGCTTCAAATATTTTTCTCGAATATTGTCAACGCCAAAATACTCCTCCGGATTAATGCTTCGCCATTTCAGTTTAATTAACTGACCGGGCCAGATGCACCATCCTGGCCTGCAGCCGCATTGTTGTTGCCAAAATTACTGCCAAAATTCTGCCGTAGTTGCCCCTGTTCTTCGTGCGTTACGTGGCCTCCTTCATCCACAAACACGACTTGCTGCTGCCCGGGACTGAACAGCTTGGCGGGCTTCCCTTCTGAGGGCCGAGTGACAGCACTCACTATCAGCACCAGTATCAGCGCACTCTGCCCGGACGCAAACATCTGCTCAAGTTATTCGTCATGGACAAATATTCATTTCAAGAGCGCTGTTAAATAAATTGAAAGGGGTATTATTATTATGCACAGTACTTAATGATAAAAAAATTAATATCTAATGACGCCAAACATCCAGCGGATGAACAAGTGCCACTCGATCAATCCATTCATGCAGTGAAAACATATCGCATACTTTGGATAGTCATACATAAAAACAACTTTGTTGAATGTAAGTAAACATTCAAATAGCTTTATGTCCAGCATAAGTAGTTATAAGCGAGAAAATATTTTTTGTTGGTCGTAAGAATGGTGAGAGCTCAACTTTCTGTCGAAGTAAAAACTGTTTTAATTCCGTATAGCTTGTCGCCAGGTAACGATAATTTCTAAACGAAATCGATCGTTGAAGAAATTTAAATCACCTTAAGGTAATGAATCTATTCATTGATTAATAAAATCAAGTTTGATATATTGATACTAGCTGCATTACAGACAAACAAGTAGAAGGCTAATGCAGTAATGCACAAAAAAATATCTAAATTTGGCACAGTAAACACTGAATAGTATATTCTATACAGTAGTGCTAGTATCCTTCTTACAGGTTACATCTCAAAAACGATGTTTAAATTTCAGGATAAAAGTTACTTCATTATTACTTTCGCTATGCCGAGAAACACAGTTCGACTGACTGAAAAAAATATTCACATATAATTATTTTAATTATATTCTGCTTTAAAACTTTCCTTGTCAAAATAAAAAATGATAAAGATGGAATAAAATGATCGTTTGCTACTCTCAGAAACATTCATTCATGGAAATATTATTTCGTACTCTTGCTTATATCTTACGAAAAATTTATCCTAAATTATCAATAATTTTTGCTGTTTGTACTTAGTTAATTTAAAATAATGCAAAGTTTATTTGAAATTGCATTTATTTTTTTTCCGGTGCTAATTTGGCTGGTACAAATTTGTATTTTAATTATATTCTTTGAATTAACATTTAAATCTTCAAATTCGTGTTATGAGCTCCATACGATTTTCACTGAAGTTTTAAAAAACACACCTTCGCAGGACAGCACATCATGAATGTTCCAGCGTAAAGATACGGCGCACACAACGACCAGTGACAGGTCCACTCCTTCTTATAGCCTCTCACGTCGTCACGAGTGGGTAAACTCGTCACGTGGAGCTCGTGATAACGCACGTCACATCCCTTAGTCCTGACGGCCTTCTCTTCCCAGACCACAATCACGAAGAGGTAAAATGACAAACCCAGTAGCAGCTGCTCCAAGCAATATATATTCAATAAAAACGTTTTTCTTTTCAGAAAAATAACAGTTTTCAGAATAACAAACTTCAAAAACCACCGCTCAACAAGACCAAAGAGTCCATGGATAACTAAAGCTACCGCGAAGCTTTGGAAATGTATGTAACCCACCTACGTCTAATTTCAGCCGGACACTATGTTCACCAGCTTATTTGATTAATAAAATTTCCTGGGATTAGTCGAGATGTTCATAGAAAATGTTTATTTGCATATATCAGCACATGCGGTGTTACTCAACAGTTATTTAGCCTGGTATTCGAATGCAATAGCAACCTAATGCATGAATCATCTAACTTTCTCGCGCCAAGCTGCCCTCGAAGAACGAGGAAGCGTTCGCTCCTCACCGCGGACCGCGACACGCGGACACGCGACGCCAGTGGCAGCATCCACACTCTGACGATGCGGTAAAGAGTCATGAATAGAAACTTATTAAAATCCGTAACTGAATTCACGGTTAGTGTTTCAAGATTGACAAAATTCTTTTATTAACCAATGCACCGAAGAAGTTGGCCGACTGCGTAATCCAAAATATTGAATTAATAAAATAAATATTTATTGATGAATTAAATAATGTATCACATCGAATTTCAACCATTTCGTATAAGTATTGGACGAGATTTGATTGGACTTTATGAGATTTCAATCAACAAAACGGAAAATCAATGTGTTGAAGTGTGAGATACACATCGGCGAACCCATTATGCTCATCGGTGTGCAACATCCTATCGATCATGTCACACGATTGCATGAGTAGAAATACTTCCGCGTAGGACCTGCTGCTCCTGACGTCCTCCGCTCCACTTCTTGATGCTGCGTCACGCTTCTGCATGATCATTCGGTGAATGGGGTGCTGATCACTGTACTTGAAGAGGTTATTATATGCTAGCATCGTGGTAACATCATCGAGCGTCGTCGCCGCAACCATTCCTGCGTCACGTATCGGTACGTCTCTAAAACACATCAGATTCGGCTTACAATTGTACAATCAGGCTTTTTTGTCCCTTTTACCGTGTCATCTATATTCGAAATTATTGTTTTGGATCACATGTTGCCACATTATTTGACGACTATATCTAACGAATTAATGTAGGCTAAAATTATTATTTTGACAACCAGAATGAAATAACGCACCTATGGCTGTTGAAATACTATACATATACATACCGTATCAATTTGGTTTCACATATGTCGTTCTAGTGTTTAAATTCGCTTTACGTGTAAAGTTTCTGTGATGAGACAGCAAATTTTCTACAAATACGTTACATAATGCGACGTTGAACGCAAATGTCTCGTGGTCCAAGAGGCTGCGTGTATAGTCATATTCTCGTTCGTGAATGTGGTGCAGGTGATAAGCCGTAGAGCATGCATAATGAGGCGTAATTTAGCCCCCCTCCCTGTATGAATTAGTTGAATACCGCGAAACTTCCTGAATTCATTACTCGACATTCACGAATTCTCACGTCATGGAAATTATGGAGAGATATGCTGTAGAACTTTTAAGACTTTATTCAAACATCATTCATAATATTTTTGTCATGGACGAAGTTGGAAGTTGTACTAATGATTCTTTAATTTTCTACTGGACTTTGGAATAAAATAAAAAATATTAAAACTTCATTTATATGTATTGTCTATCGATATTAATCGATGCATCACCTAATATTAATATTAATCGATATTAATCGAGGCATTTAACATAAATGTTTTATTGCAAGTGATGTTCTGACACCAAGCTGTAAAATTTTAATTCAAATTTGGCCAAGTCTTACCTAAAATAAAATACATAAAGATTTTCATGATTGACCTATACTCATTACTCAGTCCTCAATTGTGTACTATTAACAAATAAGCTATGATATGACCAATTTCATTTTACAAGACTTCTCTTTAACTTCACTTCTTGTTTGTCTGTCTGTCTGTCTTTCTGCTACAAATCTTATAATCGATATTTAACACACTTCTACCTGTCCAATCGATCTGAAATTTTGCACACTCGCGTAAAGTTGGAGACAATGCATGAATCAATTTACAGAATAAATAATTTTATAAATTAAATTTTTTTTTCATTATTAAAAAATTAAAAAATAATTTCGTCTGCTACCAATCTTATAATCCATATATGACACAATTTAACCTATCCAATTAGTCTGAAATTTTGCATAATTGCATAAAGTCAGAGACAATGCATGAATCAATTGACAGAATAAACAATTTTGAAAATTTATAAAATTTTGATATCTTGAAAAATTGTTGAAAAATAATTTTCTTTCCAATATTTGAAAATAAAATTAGAAATTCATTGTGCATGTGTAATATCCAAGACACTGGATTGTTCAGAAGAGTTGTCTTTAAAAAGTAATTTTTAAACGCATATTATTTTATATTCTAAGGTATAATATATTTAAGTCTGCTATCACTTGATCGTGTTGAGAAGCAGAAATTGCTTGTGTTCAGTTCAAGACTATAGTAATATGCCCAGTAATTTTTTATTTATTCTAGGGTATATTATATTTAAGTCTCCTATCGTTTGATCGCGTTAAATAGAAAACATCGCTTGTGACTTATAATCGATATTTAACACACTTCTACCTGTCCAATCGATCTGAAATTTGGCACACTTGCGTAAAGTTGGAGACAATGCATGATTCAATTGACTGAATAAATAATTTTATAAATTAAAAAACAACTTTTTCATTATTAAAAAATAATTTCGTCTGCTACAAATCTTATAATCCATTTATGACACAATTTGACCTGTCCAATTGATCTGAAATTTTGCACAATTGCAAAGTCAGAGACAATGCATGAATCAATTGACAGAATAAATAATTTTGAAAATTTACAAAATTTTGATATCTTAAAAAAATTTTGAAAAATAATTTTTCTTTTCAATATTTGAAAATAAAATTAGAAATTCATTGTACATGTGTAATATCCAAGACACTGGATTGTTCAGAAGTGTTGTCTTTAAAAAGTAATTTTTAAACGCATATTATTTAGAATTCGTTTCATTTTGGAATGAAGTACAAATAAAAAACTAAGGCATTTCTTGAAATATTGAGACAGTAAAACCTCGTTCAGATGTGCTATATGATAATGTATATTTTATGAATGCATCGACATATTCTTTTATTTCATATATGAGTATGGTATGTGATTCATTTAACACATGTCGGGCATTCTTGGCCTCTTTATAATGAAATTACAAAAATTTTTACCATTTAATTGCCGCAAGAGCAGTTAATATGATTTAGTTACGAGTCAACCAGATCCTATTATTTGCTATTGAGTGGGTAATCTTAGCCTCACACAACTCATATAGTTGATATTTCCCTCGGCCAAAACATCTCCCGAGCAGCGCAGGCTATCAGTGAAACTATCAGTCATTATTGACGTATTTCTTGTCCTCATCGTTCTTCATATCACATCATCAGGACAGCATCGGGAAAATCATAACACGCGGTCGGAGAAACCTTCATATTGATCATAGTATCGTCATCACAAGCAGTCACTTATTATTTAAAGTCATCACTCGAATTGCCAGAACAGTTACACATCATTCCATCATTATTCATGGTACGTGAACATTCGAACATCACAGAAATCATCCCTGGTGGTACGTTAACAGTTGAACATTACAGGAATGACCAGAGGTACTTGATGAACTTTCGAACATCACAAACATCAACGCCCGGATTGCTTGATCATTAAAACATCATTGATGGTGAAACTAACATCATTGATTAATAAATTGAAATAAAACGCTTGATCATTAAACAACAACATCACTGATGGTACACATGCAGTCGGACACTACAGACATCCTTGATGGTGATGCATGATGACTCGAACATCACAAAATCATCACATGTGGTGAGTGAACAACAGGAACTCATCTCAGGTAGTTCACGTCTACCACAAAGCCACTGTCGCCATCCACTCTGCAACAAAAGAGAATAAATAAAAGTCATCGCTCTCACCTCACCACAATGTCCGTGTCCGGATTTAAATTTGCATGACTATATGTTTCATCTAGTTTTAAATATATGTTTATATAATTCTATCATATAATTTACGTATAATTTTTACTTTAAATAATATAATTGCGAAATTTAATTAAATAATATTATAAGTATTCGACTAATATTATTATATAATTTAATTATCAACCTACGGGATACCATTCCGTTTTCTGAAAAAAATTTATGGACAGAATTACAGGGATTATGCCAACATCCGGCGTGTTTATATAATATTGATGTTAAATGAATTTTTTGTAAAATGCCATATTTTGAGGGAGAAATTGATGGAAATGTCAGAGATGGGGTTGATCTGGATACCACGCATCTTGCCTACCACTGGTATCAAGTGTTTATACAGTACGTTTGATTGGTGCATTTCCATGCATCTTATACCTCAATTATTCGAATGAATTATTCAACTAATTTTGAATAAGTAATTAAATCGTTATTTTATGAATACTTAAATTGTTATTTTATAAACAATTAAATTATTTATTGCGTGATGAACAATTTGTCGTTCGAATAATGTCATGTCGTTAAAAGTATTGTATGACTCCCAATGATAAGCTCAGTCCTCAGCACAGATTAGCGCTAAAGACTGCCTCCTACTTAGCATCACAAAGACTGGCAGCAAGACCACAACAGCAGCAGAGCTGAGGCCATCCATATATAAGCTATACGACACTTACACGACCTCTTCCTTTTCGCGACTCTTGACCTGTTGCAAGGCCAGATTGCTGAAAGCCTGCATAAAATAATTTTAAAATGCTCATGCGGCATCAACGGAGTACGGCGATTTGATGGTGTTCTGACGTAAAGCGTATATTGAGTCTGTTGTTTCTCTTATTCAATTTGTGAATCATATGATGGATGTGTCAATTTTTCCGAATTATTTAAGTTTTTTGCCAAATTTTTGATCGCATCACTCAATATTCTCTTTCAAAAGGTTCAACCTAAGCAATGAAGAGACTTTCAACCAAGCTCATTTAAATTTTTAACGTTTATCTTGCTCCGTAAAAATATCATTGCATCTGTAGAATAAATTTATACAAACTTGATACCTGTAAGTGACCATCTGCCTGCGGCCGTCGGGCAGCTGCACGTAGTACTGGCCCGAAGTGAAGTCCGCCTCCCGGGCTTCGCTGTGACCGAAGTTCTGGCCGCTCTCGGCGTCCAGCACGCCCCAGTCGAAGTTGTAGCGGACCTGTGGCGCCAACGTTCTCATTATACGATATCAGTGCATTAAATACATGTAAACAAATCAAAAATTAATATGTATTAAATCAAAATCATAATTAGCATTTACGTTTACTTAATGCTTTGTCTAGCTGTATGCTAATTTTTTATTCCTTTTCTTGACAGCCGTATTCTCTATTTTATCTTGCCATATTGTAGAAGGCTATGATTACTTATGTTAATTTTTATGGATAATGTGTAGGAAAATGGAGCATTTCAGTTAGGATGTATATTTGTGAAATCGCTCATGAGAGAATTTTGGCCTTACTTGGTACGGTCGTGCGGACCGGGATTATAACTTGCTTGAAATTTTACGTTTTGACCGACTCACGTGTGTTATAACTTATTTATGTAACTATTAAATCAGAAATTTTTAGTCAGAATACTTTAATTAACATAAGCTGGCCATTCAAACGTATGTAGCGGTCCCAAAAAAGGTGCCTTATCTTGACCGTTACATGTGCCTTGCCTTGACTATTACACGTGCCTTGCCTTGACCGTTACACGTGCCTTGCTTTGACTGTTACACGTGCCTTGAATTGGTCGTTACTCGTGCCTTGCCTTGACTGTTGTAGGCTCTCTACTTTGATCGTTATAAGTGCCTTGCTTTATCATTTCTGTATGAAGTCCCCGAACTATCTTGACCGTCATATTCTCCATCTTTACTCAATAGTTATTGCTGCATGAGCTAACTTCTAACTTAGAAAAATACGCACAGCTCTATCTTTTACACAATGACTGGTATAGGACTTAATCTTATCCTGAATTCTCAAAACCTTATTGACATAATATAAAATTATAATTATTTATTTGCAAAACAATATGTTAATGAGAATCAATTGTAACCAACGTAACCAAAGAAACAGTCATTCTCAAATACGCACTCGTATCATGATAAAGACGATTATTCGTAAATTAATTGATGTGCTTTCAGGTATTGACGTTTATTTAGGATATTAATTCAACACACGTAAAAAAATGAACACACCGGTGGCGATGAATCGGCCGTTTGTGGTCGCCCTGTCGTCAGCGTCACCATCACCAGCATCACAAACATCACGACTACCTGTTGAGATTGTACATGTAGTTAACCGCTCTGTTTGTTGCGGTTTGTGACGTCATACAACGGAGATGTGGGTAGACTTGTGACTATTCGTACATGTTTTATTATCCCAGATATATTGGAAAATTTTAGTTTCCAATGCTAAAAATAAACATTTTCAATCAAAATAATTTTTTTTCGAGAAAAATTTAACTTCCTTATATTAATATTATTGAAAAATAGCTATTTCTCCAGATGTGTTTTCCGGTATTGGTGATATGCCATCGACTCCACTCTTGTTTTATGCTCAATCTACATTTCAAACATTGCTTTTTACGAATTTTTTGTATTAATAATAATATTTTACACAGCATTGAGATCGTTTACAGCCTACGCTTAGCGATAAATTTTTTCATATCTTACCTTCGCATTCATATTCGTTAATTGTAGATGTAAATTGGGTTTTAAATCAAAAAATATTAGGAGTATAATTACTAAGTTCGTATCGTCGGTCGGATATCTATAAGCCCTGAAATCCAAGAAGAGTTCAAACATTAAATCATCTGAACAAAATGAGAATACGCATGCCGAGGGGCATTGTAATGTAGGGAAACTTCGCCCTATTCCAGGCAAGTGTATTTTGTCAAATGAATTATTTGACAAAAAAACGAATAAATTATAAACAACAATGAATTATATACTATTGAAACACCTCAAATAAAAATTAACATTTTCATACCCAAGTAAATTGTACTAGGTGCCGAAACACTGATATATATTGCACAATCCTAAACACTTCTTGTCTTAAAAATAAATATTTTATGCACCAATCACGTTATTTTAAAAAATCACCCATAAACATTTGCGACGAAAATTTTTGTACACGGAAAATTATTTTCTACTGTCCATCTTCACTAAAATTTCCTGCACTTCACCGACTGATCGTCTGATTCCCCACATTTTTCCCACACGGTTGAAGCATTAACACGCTGGGCACTTTGCACTGTAGAGACTGAGAGGCAAATGCCCCGAGCTTGGCGGGTGCCGACTTATAACTCACCTCTTACGCCATGCAGCGTCGCGACCTCACTTGCACTCTTGCTGCCAGCGACCTCCTCTCCTGCAGCCACTTATTAGTGAACTCTTCTTCAGAGTACAACTGCCTCCTGATCACTTGCTGAAACTTGTTACAGAACGCAGGTCACGACCCCCGTTTGGCCGTCTTGTGCAAGAGCCTTCCAGCCTGCAGGAAAATTACGAGTACTATAGATGACGAAGGTTGCACGTGGCCCTTGAATTTCTAGAAGCTCTAAATGAATTCAAATTAAGAAGTTCTGAAGATGAGAGCAAGGATTTATCTGTTTCTATAATCTGGAGAGAATAGACACAGCCATCAAAATATATACGAATGTGCACTGCTGTAAGAAATAAAATTTTAATGCCATCACTATATATATGAGTAAATGGAATATTTATCAACGCTTTCTGGTATAAAATCATCTTAAGAATTCGCGAATTTACTCGACAGTGATCTTTTCTGAGAGGTAGTTTTTCATTGATTTATTTTAACGGAGAATATTCATGCCATAAAAAATAGTTGACACGAATTTTCACGGGCTGGATGATTATGTGATACAGTCATTTTCCAATATGGGATGAGCAATAGGACATTATCATAACATTTTAGAGTCTAGCGTAAGGTGTCAACGGCGAATACTTTCACTCTCGAGCTTTAGATTCCTAAACGTCTGCAGCATCCTAGTTGAAAAACAACAACTTTGGGGCTGCCTATGACAACTTTATACTTTCAGCGTGGTTTAAAAACTTTCAGTATATGAAAGGTGTATAAAATTTGCGATACCGACTACATGTATTTGATGCATTGATTGAGCAGCAGCACAACACAGTACAGAATCTTCATGTTTGAATTTGACGATAAGTGCAGCAGTTGGATTTTTCGTGACCTCGTGTAACCTTAAGAATAAAATTATCCGACTGGTTGATAATGACGAGTATCATCCTGACCTTGTGGGGCGCGCGTGACTGAGACGGAAGTATGACGATTTATTTTTTCTGTGGCGCATCAGCAAACTGCGAAGCAGGTGCCATAAACCTGAAATAAATTAAGCTCTACCCTCCAGAGAAAATCAAGATTTTAGCATAATTTAATTCAAAAATCACATTGAAAAATTTGCTAGATTAGTCCAGCAGAATACGTAACAAAATGATGTTAATCGCCATCACACGGAACTATTTCAGGAACCATGTATCTATGCATGGTTAGATTTAACTAACTACGAGCACCTTTCTGTGATTGGTGGAAGATTAATAATCAAAAACGCTGCATGGAACCAGGTTGGCCGAGCTGAAAGTCAGACTTATATTTCTAATTCATATGAGACTTCATCTTACTATAAGAAAATGTGTATCTTTGCAGGTTTTGGCCGGAGTTGCGTTTTACAGTTGACACTTTTACTTCTCGTTTTTGTGAGGACGCGCTAAGCAGGTTTGTACATGGGAGGCCCTCAGCTTCTATAAACTGAGTGAAGGGTGCAACGAGGTACATTACTTTTTGTCCATATAACCGGTCTAGTAAAAAAATTAGCAGATAAAGCCAACTTGGAGCTCTTTTGAAGTGCGTCTCTTTAAACTTAAACATTCACCTTGGTTGAGATCTGCAGATGCCGTTTAATTGTGAGTTCAATTTCACATTCAATGTGCTTATACAAGTATGGAAAGAAAAAATATAGAAACCTGCACACGAAAATAAACAAAGAACTTAACAACAAAAACTAATTGCGAATAGCAATGGCTTGGCTTAGCTTTTTGCTGTGACTTGAACGTATAAAATATTGATTTTATTATAAAAGTTTTTTTTATATCTTTTTATCGACGCATTTTAAGGAGATTTGTAGCGATAAACAAAGTTTGTCGTACTAATTGCATGCATTTGTTCTAAGAAGTCTTGTTGATGTGCTATAAAAACCGATGATATCGGCAAGAATTATCCGCTACAATTTGAAAATTTCCTCGCCCTTTCAATACTTTAGCTTTTTTGGACTTTGCAACACGTTACATAAAGTAACTCACTCAAATATCTTTTTATTTCTATAAAAAGTTATTTGTCTTTTTCAATATTGTAACTCAAAAATTATTTTTATTATTACTCTAGCTTACATACAATTCACTGCTTAAACGTAATATATTCAGTCACCCGTTAAACTTTATCTTATATTTAAAGTAAATGTAGGATCGTTAATCTGGAACACGATGCTTGGATCATCTCGCGTGACAGGTCGTCACCGCCCGTGTTTTCGTTGTGCGCGTTGCGTGCGGACGAGTTGTTTGCTGCGCTTCCAATTGCACGGACGGGACCACGAGTGTATGTATCATCGGCTACATGTTCCCGAGCTGTCGTGACCTCACGATGAATTCCCTTCACACCCAGAGATCGTTCTTACTTTCGAAACAGACGCCCACTTGCGTCAGGAATGGTTTTGGCTACGACGATAGTTTATAAGATAAGATATAAGAATTATTTTAAGAGTTGCTGAAGCGCCACTTTTCTTATTACAATATTTAATTTTTTAAATGTTTGAAGCTCGTAATTAAATGTTTGAAGATCGTAATTCCAACTTTATTCAAGTGTTATTTTAATGCATTGAACGTTCCAGCTAGAGACGAAAATGCATGACTCTAATCTGTAAATCGACTCTAATCTGTAAATAATCACAGTTTCCCTCCTACGATAGTTATTCCTTGTGCCAAGTCATCACCCTCAAGAACCGCGAACGTTGAAAATTGATGGTCAATTTGTCTCCTTAGCTTTGTTTTTATATAGCACCCAGGCGTCAACCTAATTTCGACTGTTGAACGCTCAAAAACAAACTTTCCTCGGCATAAAATTATTGGACGCGAAAACAATTTGCGTGTGGCTCGTTTTCCACGGAACGAGCCAAGTATTTTCTTTACACGATAAATCAAGTACCGCCTCGTTTTTTCGCTATTGAAAAGCTCACTGGGAAATTTGCGATGCTTCATCACGTTTCCAGATGCCCTTGTGTGGGACACTTGTTGCAAACCGGCCGAGCGAGTGGATCTTGATTCTGAACTCCCGACTTGATTATGGTAGCTCTGGGGGATCAAACCTGTTATTGGTTAGTGACCTTGAAAGTGGTTTACACCGAATAATTATTGTTATTTCATTTACGTTTTAAATGTGACCATTTAAGTCAAAACATCTTATAGAAAACATCTTAATTTATTAGTGTATACTTGTTACAATTAGTTTCGAAAGATTTTCTTTATCTCTTTCATTATTTTCATGTTCGTGTAACCATGGTTGAAATGTATTAATTCAACCATGCGTGTAACGATATCAACAAAACAGGACCATGACATGGTTGAAATCAGGAGACTCATGGAGTGCCTTAATAATACGTAGAAACTAAAACTCCATCTAGGCTTCATAGGCTGACGTATACAATAAATCAATAATAATCCTCATGCTTATTCCTCACCTTCATTTTTCATTTTCTTAATTATCTTTAATTCGCATTACTGTGCGTAATAGAAATTTTTTCGTCTATACTACGCCAGCTGGATATAATTACGTACATATAGTTAAGCTGAAATCCATATTTCCACACATTTTTCGGATTCAGTAAGTCTCATTCTAGAAGAAAAACATTTCATATGAGAGAAACGAAACGCACATCTCTTCGACTCACATTACATAACCTTAGGTGCCGTGTAACGAGAAAATGTGAAGGTGAAGCAACTCTAGACTCAATTTAAAAATTGTTTTCTCTTGAATTTAAGGATTGCTGCATAACTCCCCTTGGATTAATTCTTAGAAACTCGACGGTCATGAGCTGAATGACTCGAGTCAAGGCTCCTTTAAAATATATTTTAATGTTTACAAGGCTGTGTGAATGCATTCGAATATTACTATTCTCTTTTTAAGGTAACCTTTAATTTCCCTGCTTTGATTACAACACTGATTTATCAGCAAGAATGAGATTAGTTTTCAACAACATTCAATTCCTCGATGTGCAAAAAGAATCTTAGATAGCTAATAAAATTGAAATGCAGTTACCTGAAATTTAAACTTTTCGTGGTTGTAGAAATGATTAAGAGACTGTAAGTCCTCAATTATACAGACTTTTTTTCAAACCTCCTCGCGCTTGCGTCACACTCTCAGGCTGCAGATACTAGATTTTCTTTCGTAACCCTGGCAGGAGAATATTGCGGATGCTTCATTGCGTTACACCGGAACTTTTCCTTGTAGTTTACGCCTTCCGTTCCTCTTTTGCTCAGGAAAAAATGAGCTGTTAATGTTCGGCGCGGCTTCGCTAAATTTTTCGTTCGCAATTACCATGCCTCCACTTTGGCTGGTAGAAAAAAAAAGTAGAAACTTGTTCAAATTACGACATCGAAAAGTATGTATGTAAGAGCATTTCTCGAACAACATAATTTTGTTTTAATGGAGAGGAAATGTATGCACTGAATTTTTTACTTTAAAATTTTCACAGGCGCAAACAGATTAATTTTGAGATGATATTGCCTGTTTCTGAACTTGATTTGAATAAAAAATTACATTGTAGTACGTCTTTGACTTGTATCCTGAAATTGAAAATGACTCAAACTTTGGAACTGCGTGAAGAAATTGACGAACAAAGGGCGGCTACAAGATTATTTCCGGGAAATTTTGAACGCATTTCCATGATTTTGTAATTTGTGTCCGTCAAATTATGCTTGCTTGCTTTAAATGGAACAATCAGATTGTTTCTCCAAAAATATTTTTTATGAAACTCTCAGCTAAATATACGTAAGAACAAATTCAATAGTGATGTATTATTTAAAGTTTTAAACTAATGATGGTAACGCGCCAGAATGTTCCTCATATGATTTAGATTAAACTGTTGCTTCTAGTCACAGTTCTGCCGCAACAATTTAATTTGAATAAATTTCTGCATATCCTTACGATCGTTTTGAACGACATCAGGTTGATGCGAAATGCTGTTCTTCAAAAACCACACCTGCACGATGCCGTCCAGAATTCGGAAATAGAAAATCACAAGTGTGGGCTTGGAATTGAACGCTGAAAAATATTTCATACCAATGGACCTTATCGATTAAACCAGACTCGCTAACGACGACGAGGCAATACAATAAGTGATCTTCGGATATATTACTTCTATCCTAAAAGTATTTTGTATTGCAACCTCCCCACGTAGACCACAGTTACCTCGACCAGTGCCAACTGACCTTCTGCAAAATGGCCACCATTTTGCTACGGCCGTCAAATGAGCATCAATGTGATAGTAAAAACTCATTTACTCGTTACTGTGTGACATTTATCCTCCATAAATATATGTGCGCACACATTAACTTTTAAGCAGCCTTTGTTAATTTAGTAAAGTTTATTCACATATGTCTTCTCTTTTAAAAGATGCAATGCTCGAGGGCTGCATCCTGGAAAAAAATCATAAAGAACTTAGATACGTATGATTTCGTATGCTTGCTTCGTTTACACATCTGGTCCTACTACAAAAACTGCCTCATTTCTTAATTACTCTAATAAATTAATTTCTTACTTTATTGTTAAAGCGGCGCGTGATAGCTTAGCAGCTGAAGCGCTAGTAATCATAGGGTCACTAAACTAACTTATTGTTAAAGTATTGATAGCAAAAAATTCTTTCAAGAAATGCATTTAATGTTATCGCTTGGAGTCCTAATTTGGTAATTATTTTAGAGCAACTTCAATAATATCTGGTTTGTAACTTATACGGTACGTATTCAAGAAAATTAAATAAATGACTACTCGTTATTGTAGATTATGCCAAGGTTATTCTCTAAGCATGCCACAAGTTTCAAAGTGCGAGTTTCACGGTTATTGGGATATTTTCTGACATAAAATTTGTTAAATGACGAGAGACAGCGCTTGAAGTGGACAGCAAATAATTAGCAAGAGATGTTGGAAATTGAAGGCTCGTTGCGTCACTAAGTTATAGAAAATTTTAAGTCAGTATAATTGAGTGATGAATTCCTTTTTGGTTTAGAATAATGAAAACATTTGTAAAATTTCAAGCCCTCAGCCTGTAAATTCGCCAATAGTCAAGGCCGAAAAATCGGACATCACACTTATTGAAAGATCGGGGCCTGTTTTGACTGGGTTGTGTTTCCACTCACTTGTATTAATCATCCACCTTTTCCATAAGTTGCACGCGCATTTTTCCAGCGCCAGCGTGACCACAAATTTATCGAGTTGTTATCATAACATGGCCACTTTCACTAATAATGTTTATCATGGGCCTAGAAGAATTAAAGTTTCCTTTCACCATTAGACGACTCATCATATTCTTTAATCTTGATGTGCGCCGCGTATTGACGTTTTTCCCACGTCAGTCAAGCACTTCTCTCCCAGGACACTGTGATCATGCGGGCCTGGTTCGCTCTTCGTTACCCTTCAGTGAAAGTGAGAGTATCTTCGACTAGGACGTCGCATGCATGCAAGCGTCAGCAACTTAATCGTGGTGTCTGGCTAAGAATCCAATGATTCTTCTTAAATCAAAAAGAGTTCCTTTCTAAAGTCTCCTGAAGCCGTAAGTATAATCTATGATAGACGATAAAATAAATATTGTTGGCATAAAAATTTATCATGAATAAATAATTATAGATATTTAATTTTGTAACTGTTGTTAGTTTCAAATACTTATAAACAACGATCATTTAATGGACTACGCCAGGCGAGATGAATTTGGGAGATATGTTCATGCTGCAGAGACTAGATAAAAAATGCACGTAACCGAGTTTACAAAATTCGTATTTATTATTATCATTAATTATTTATATATTTATTTTTTATTTATTTCATTTATTTATTAGTTTATTCATTTTTGAGGCCTGATATAGAGCTGTTCAATGAAAATTCCGGAGGACTTGGCACAGTTTGAATAATGAGCCGTCTGATGCTGTTTACTACAATAGATTCGTTTAACGGTAATCAAATCAGACTTCACCAGCTCGTGCCAGAATTGCTAAAACCGTTCGTTCGAAAATGCTTTATTGCCTCAACAACAATTATTTCACCACTGCCCGTAATTTACGATCTCCACTGACAATAACAGGAAAAAAATCATCCAGCGTGATATTTTTTCGTGATTGCCGTGACTTTATTAATAATATTTGTTTAGTATTCTTGATGCATTTGGGTTCAATATATGTCCTGCTTTCAAAATAAATTAGAAATTTGTAATTGAATTTGACAATTTCCGGCGGTCGTTGTAGTAAACACTCTTATTGATTAAATAATATTGGCTGAAAATTATTTCGCTTTGCGCTGAAATGATGTATAAGAAGAGTACACGCAATTTTTTTTTCATTATGAGCATCTCGATTTCTACACTGTGTGGCCAGCCAATTGGAAAATTATTATGGTCTTAGAGAGCAAGCTGTCAATTGATGTTAATCCTTATATCGATGTACTTCCGCATAAATGACCGAATCGACACTTCAGCAAACTCGCCTGCGAACTGGCCTGCGCACTCGAATGCAAAGCCTAACTTCACGTTCAACTCTGCCAGCCATAAATCCATCAATAATGAACGGATTTTATTCAAATTTGAAAAATAGGTAGATAATATTAGTAATAAGTGGATGAAATTTTTTCGGATTTTTACATCAATTACTTTTTGTTAATACGGAAAACCTAACTTCATTTTGAGCTCTGCCAGCCATAAATCCATCAAAAATGAACGGATTTCATTCAAATTTGAAAAATAAGTAGATAATATCAGTAATTTGTGGATGGAATTTTTTCAGATTCTTACATCATTACTTTTTTGTTAATACGGAAAACCTAACTTCATTTTGAACTCAGCTAGACATAAATCCATCAATAATGAAGGGATTTCATTCAAATTTGAAAATTAAGTAGATATTATTAATAATTTGTGGACGAATTTATTTCAAATTTTTACATCGATTGCTTTTTTATTAATACAGAAAACCTAACTTCACGTTCACCTCGCAGGTTAGGTCCTAGTTAGGTCAAGTTTCAGTATTTTAGGGCAGTATAAAAAAGTAATAGATGTAAAAATCTGAACGCTCACTTCTGAAATAAATCCGTTCACAAATTATTGATAATATCTACTTAATTTTCAAGTTTGTATGAAATCCGTTCATTAATGATGGATTTATGGCTGGCAGAGTCCAAAATGATGTTAGGTTTTCCGTAATAATAAAAAAGTAATTGATGTAAAAATCTGAAAAATTCCATCCACAAATTACTGATATTATTTACTAATTTTTCAAATTTGAATAAAATCCGTTCATTATCGATGGATTTATGGCTGGCAGAGTTCAAAATGAAGTTAGGATTTGCATTCGAGTGCGCAGGCCAGTTCGCAGCCGAGTTCGCTGAAGTGTCTTAACTCTTACCGGTGCAAAAATGGCTAAAACTTCTGAGAAAATTGGCTTTAGCTAAAATAATCAATATTCGTTTTAGTGCAGAGTATTTCAAAAGTTCTACATACGGGCTACGCGCATCTTATCCGAAGCTGCATGCCATTGGTGTCCATTTCAAGTTGCAGTCGATCTTATGTTTTTACGGTCGTGTGGAAGGCTATATGAGGTGAAAATGTCGCCGATGATTAATTGTGAATAAAAATACTATTCTAAAACACAAATTTTTGAATAGAATATTAAAGCAACAAATGATATCAAGGATTTCGTTCGAAAGGTCCGCCGACGTCTCTGGAACGTCGTTTGGGTGTGTGGCGCAGCTGCGCATTCGCGTTGTCCGTGAAATTTCTGTCACTTGATCTTGATAGACTGTCGACTGACAGTCGGTCTTTGGCTTGACCAGTTTCGGACAGTTCGTCGACTGTTGCAACCTTTCTAACGATCTACGCCTACGGCAACTCGGTGTTTCAAGGTACTAAATTCTGTGAATATGTCGTTTTCATTGAAAGTCAGAATTGTTATTACCCAAGGATTATCAGTTCTTCGCATGGCCTAATTTAGCCACAGACAGAATTGACAATTGTTGTAGCGACAGTACCTAGGCTGCTAGTGCTAGGCAGTAGCGCTGTTCTCATCACAAACTGAATCCTGAAAAATACGGCAAATTAAACAGTTAATAGACTTTACATTTTGTAGTGCTTCAATCTATTGAAAAATAATAATTAAAAAAATTAATTTAATATAAAATCAGTGTCAGTGACACTGTGGCTGTGTGGCACATGAGCTGCCAGCATCGCAGCATGCCACTCAAGCCTCACGAAGTTGCGGGTTGCGGCCCACACGCCACACCCGATAGGAACTGAATTAAATAGTACTGCACTTGACTTGCCATTCTACATGATTACATGAACTGTCATGAAAACTGTTAAGTATTTGTCAGAACTATAATTTGTATTTTTTGTGTTCTACATGAATAACTATAACATGATAGCTAATGACCATTTTTGACAAAACTGTTCAGATCTTGCTAGAAAGTTGTTCAGCTTTGTGTAAAAAAATGCATATAAAAAGCTTGTCAATCATTAGTAAATCCAATTTTTAAGAATCTAATTTGGATTGTTTGACAGATTTTACCTAGGTAAATCCATGGCTTAAATTTTTACTTTGTAATTTTATGATGCAAGTGCAACCATTACAAACCATACAATTCAAAAATACAAGACCAAAGAAAGCCCAAAAATTGTTTTGTTTTATAGAATAAAATAGAAGTGTCGGCAATCGGCATTGAAGAAATAGGCCCATGGCCTGTTGCCGATTCTTGAATTTTTCATGACTTGATAAGTTGATTCACAAGGGATCTGGCCTTGGAGCCCAATCTTTCCATAACTGACAATTGATTGAGATAGCTGCTGGACTTATTGCCTGGTCTGTAATTTGCTAGGCATTTTAAGACTGAACATATGCTCCTGCTCAGCTTCATCTAGTCTGTTTTTGAAGGTGTTCATACTCGGAGCGTCAACATTTTAGCCTGCAAATTGCAATAATGAATGAATTAATTAACGTCAAAACTGCCTTTGCTCTAGTTTTTGCCAATGAATTTTGCCTTATTTGCTTTTGATAAACTAAACTATGTTTCTATGTTATGTAACGCAACTATTGAATGTGATGGATCTTCTATTATTGGATAGATACCGTATTGGATACTGGATAGCAGTTTCTACTTTCTGAAAATCACTGGTGAAACTAATATTTAACTCATGCTTTAAGAGAAATTTTGCTCACTATTCAAGAATGGATAGATCATAGACGTCATTATTTTTGTGTTGAGTATAGAAGTTCTATACGGTACTCATCACAAAAATAATGACATCTAGTTTAGTTTCACAAATTTAGTTGTGAAACTAAAATTTAACTCATACTTTAAGAGAAATTTTGCTCACTGTTCAAGAATGGATAGATCATAGATGTCATTATTTTTGTGATGAGTATAGAAGTTCTATACAAATTGATGAGTGTAGAAGTTCTATACTCATCACAAAAATAATGACATCTATGATCTATCCATTCTTGAACAGTGAGCAAAATTTCTCTTAAAGCACAAGTTAAAATTTTAGTTTCACCAGTGATTTTCAGAAACTGCTGGCAGATTGGCAGTTGTGCTGCTTCTTATTCTATTATATGCAAAAATTTTGAACAAAGGCCATTAAAACCCTCGAAATATATTGCAAGAACCAGAATTTTTGTATTCTGCACTTGTAACTGCTGCACTTGTATCAGATAGGTATCAAATTATACTTGGAACTTTGAATTGAAGGAATAAGGATTCTGGTGGGGCAGCAATTCATGCTGATGCTGGCAATAGAGAGAATCTATACTGTATTTATATGATAAACATAATTTGAGCATGAAATCCTTAGTAGGAAAACTGAAGTGTATTTTTTTCATTTTATACGCAAATATTTTCATTCTCAAATGTATAATTTTTCTTAATTTCAGATGTCTCCCATGCCCCCACAATCCTGTGATACATTTGTAGTCCTACCTGATAAGACAAAGGGTGGAGCTGTTATTTTTGGCAAAAACTCTGATCGTCCTTCTGGTGAGGTGCAGGAAGTGGTGTATGAGCCTGCTGCTGATCACCCTGATGGGGCTCAAGTTCAAGTAAGTGTCTTTGAGGCTAAATCAAAGTATGAAATTTAATCCATGTGTAATTTTTTATCTTCTTTGCATCATTTCAACTTGAATTATTGTTTCATAATATCTTCTATGTTTGTTCTACAATTAGGTTTTAACACTGCTCCTGAATACTGTATTGAGCACCTTCTGATAATTGTTCAATTAATTCACCCTTTTGAAGATCTAAATATGTATTTATTAGGAGGTGTTACTCTTCCTGCAATGCTATATTATTGTAACTTAACTGGTCTCCTCAGAGGCCTCCAATAGGAATTGCTAATCAAGGCTCCTGCTTGCTGCTGTGCATCTCTATTAATAATCATATTGTTATTGCAGTGCACCTACATACAAATCCCCCAAGTTGCCCACACCCATGCTGTAATCCTAAGCAAGCCAGCATGGATGTGGGGTGCAGAGATGGGTGCCAATGAGAAAGGTGTCGTTGTGGGCAATGAAGCTGTCTGGACCAATGCTCTGGATGGCTCTGATGAGAAGGAGGAAAGACTTCTAGGCATGGACATGGTTAGGTCTGTTAATTTTCCAATTTGTTGACATTTATCTACCATCCAAATATCACTGGAAGTAGTTATGAAATATAATTCAATGAAATGTGATTTCCTGTCCATTATAGTCATGCATCAAATATTGTATTAAACAAAAAACACTTGAAATTTAAAAAAATATCTCATTTTCCTTTTGAATATTTCTTACGCAGGAATTTTACCAGTGCTTAATTTTTTCCAATTCTAGTGTGTTGGTTGCACCAACTTCCTGTAAAATGTAAATACATTCTGACCAATTCTAAAAATTATGTTTGCAGTTTGTCACAAATTGTATGACTCCTACCACCCAAAATTTTTCACAAAATGTATCACTCTCCAAATGTGTTTGTCACACCTGTAAAGCCTCACTGACGGTTCCTCTAACTTTTTCCAATAAATACACACAGACTGTCTCTTGAACGGAGTTCGTCTGCCAGTGAGGCAGTGGATGTGTTGGTTGCACTGCTGGAGACGCACGGCCAGGGAGGTCCCTGCTCTGACACAGACCCTGACTTACTCTACCACAACAGCTTCCTTGTTGCTGACCACACTGAAGCCTGGGTTCTTGAGACTGCCGGCCAGCTCTGGGTTGCTCAGAAAATTTCAGGTACATATATACATTCCCTGAGTACGGCCTGAATAATGCAATAACTTGTGATTTCGAGTGTTTATGTTAGTATTACTGGAGCTCAGTCATGTCAGTGAGTGGGTGTTAAATGTTGAATGCCTCACTATACTTCGTTACATTTCATAGTGTTAGATGGATATTATTTCAGGAAAATTGTAAATATAGACATCCCAGGCTGAATATTTGAATGGGCTTATGGTTGTGATTGGTAGGTATGGTAGGCTATTATTACTCATGGTTATGATAACTTTATCGGGAATATTTTGGTTTAGCTTTTAAGGTGAAAACCTTAAGTTATAATAGAATAATTAAAATTGATGGTGATACTTGTGTCGGGTGTTCCTTTAAAGATTCAATATCCTAGGTATTGATTTTGCATTATTCCGAAGATGTTTTTTGCAATGTCCTCCTGATGTCAGATTATCCTATCCATTAGTGTAATAATAAAAATAGTTCGCATTATAGGAGCTATGCAATACTAGGTATGTAAAAATTATTAACTTATACCGCAGTTAGTTAACTTGCTATTACCTGATATTTGATTTATTGATCTACTGCACAACTAAATTTCACAAATTTTACTTCAAACTTGAGAATCTGTTTATAACAATTTGGAGTCATGTAATATTCATTAGGCTGTGTTTATTTGTCTTTAAATCACTAAAGTAGAATTGACGTTTAAACAGAGGGCTACCGCAACATCAGCAACTGTTTGAGCATAGGCAGTGAATTTGACAAGAGCAGCAGCAACATCAGGGACGTTGCCAAGGAGAAGGGCTGGTGGGATGGAGCTGGAGACTTTAACTTCACTAAAGTGAGCTTTCCTCTATTACTTATTCCAAATGAATAAATTATATGAACGAATAAAATCGTTGTATTACTCACGTAGTCTATCATTTTTCTGCTATTTAATTTTTATTGGCATTCATTTCATCGGAATATCCTTTTTGTATATTGTCAAACACTAATTGAGTATCAATGTTGTACCTCAGTAAGACTCATTTCATTGATTTGCAATCACAAGGCAAGGACTCTTGCAGGCTCTGAGCTCTGGTGCAGACACGCGCAGGAAGAAGTGTGGGGAGAAACTCCTACACGACCTCACCAAAGATGGTCAGTTGAGTTACTAAATTGCTAATTAGTTTATCATGATTATAACTCTCATAGTTATTTATGCTAAATCTCAATTTTGTGAAAGTTTAAATTGCGTGTGACTATCTTATACTGGCTTCCTAAGTCTTTCTACTTGTCAATTGTAAAATAAATGCTAGTCTTGATCTGACCTAAATTTTTACGATGTAAATATCTGCTTAGTTCTTATTGCAAAGCATCCCATAAACCTGCACAAATATCGCCACGTAAAATTGTTAGACCGATCACTTTTATAGGGGTCAAGTCTTTGTTAATAATCCAGTTAATGATAATACAGGTTTTTTAGTTAAATTTTCATTTTTTTGGAATTTAATATAATTTTAATGTGAGGCTTGATTGTTTCGGTTCTGCATTTCTTTAACTTCACGACTCGGTAATGGACGTTGAAATTTCTCACGCGTTTTTTTGCATTCTGCTTTGCTTGAGTTCTGGGGCAAATTCTTGAATTCAAATGCAATGTCGTAGATTTAAGATATTTAGTCCCCAGCATCTTATGATATGCTTTCAAGTCTTCAAAATATTTTATTTTTAAATAGAACCAATTATTGCGTTTCTGTCAACGTTTCTTCTGTGTGTAATTCATCAACACGGATCATAGCTTGGAATCGCACTGAAATCTGCTGAACCCTAATTTTTGTCTATGTGTTTTTGTATGAGTGATTTTATTTCTCCAGTTTTTGAAATTATCTTCACGTCAACTTATTTTTCTTCTGTGTTTGCGTACGGTATCAATTTCGCTGATCGTCCTATATTAAACATTACTTTCATTCTGCTCGTCGTTCGTAATTAGGATTCTAGTTTGTATGGAGTGGCGTCAATTGAGTTCTGATTCTTTTTACAATGCTTATTACATCTGCTCCATTAGCAGCAAATTGTATCTTGATCTCTTTATCTGATGCTATTATCATCCCGTCCGAGGGGGCTTTTACGTGTTCGAACCCAGTATCATTGATTGTCGAAATTTTTCAATAAGACAAATATAAAATTTTCGATTTTGATATGATTAATCAATATGACGAATATCACTGATAAGCATATCTAACACATTTGTAAACCACCCACAAAAATACGCAAAGAAAATCCTTGATAGGCATGTCGTCTATTTACCCCCTTTTACAATCTCAATAAATCCCTCAGCTAAAACAAAGACTCTCCACCTACAATATTATTGATGTGTATGCAACCTGCTGTCACTGGAGTCACTATGTGAGCATGCACTAGCACTAATGATTGTGTAGGGGCGTTCTCACTGCACTCTATGCTCACCGTGCTGCGGGATGAGGCGTCGGGCATCTGCATGGGCAACGACGGCGACTTCGTCACCACGGGCTCACAGGTCAGGCCCGCTCATAGGAGGTGGAGGAAGACTCGTTTCTTGTGAGAGTTTGTCGGTGGTAACGCTGTCATTAAGGAAACTTGGTGGTAGTGTTAAAAACTGCTAACGTGTCCTTAAGAGTGCATTGCTTCCTCCATGTAGGGTTCTCTTATGATGTTACTGGCAAACTGCCGTACAACTTCGCTATATTGTTAACTTTCCTTTAGATTATTCAAATCATGAGCATAGTGCATCCAGTGATGAATATTCGAGTTCGGCATAGCTTGATTAGATATGTACGGCTCAAAATACTCACCGGCCAAGCCCATGTACATCTGATCTTCGATTTGGTTCCAATATATCGTCTCCCAAAAATATTTCGAGGTCATGCATTTTTTTGCGAGCTTCCTGCACAGGTAAGAGTAAGGCTTCATGGGCCTCCCTTTGATCTCTCAGACGTGACGTCGATTAAGTAAGTTTATGTGCAGTTGCTTGTTTCCCTCACCGATGTTCAACTTGTTGCATGATGTGCACGTGCTTGGGAATTGACTTGTTCTGCCTGCACCACAAAAACTCAAATTCCTCGAAACGCTGTACTTTTTTTTCTTTGCAAGTAAATTACTATTGACGAAGCCCACAGCAAATTTCGCCCTTACTGAGAAATTTACTCGCACTACTATTTTTAAGCACACGTTTATTTACATTTATATTGACATTTCAGTTGTTTCTGTTCTTTACCCTCGGCCTTAGTTTCACTCAAAACGCTTTGATTAGACGAACCATAGTCTGCCTGTATGGTTTATTTATTTTATGAAGTATCTATCGTTGAACTGTTAGTTTTAGAAGTGTGACCGTTAGGCTCACTATAGAGAACCTAGTGGGCTATTTTCATTTCATGAAAGCGCTCTAAATTTTGAGCGTCTTGTCTAATATAAATTTATTGCAATGCAGATGCTTAAACATCGGAATGCTTAGTTATACCTACGTTCTGAATCTCAGGAAAGTTTCATGTATTTTAATTTACTCAGTGCACTATACTCATTTTGAAATTTTATAGAAAATTTAATCTGAGTAAATGGAACGTTGTACACCCAATCGTGTATTGTACACATATTGGAATTTTGGCTGTAGTGATGTTGGGTACAAGCTTGCCTGGTGCCCTGCAGGGGACTTCTCACTGCGACACATGCTTACCATCTTGCGGGATGTGCCATCTGAGATAAGCCGACCTGTTGAACATCATCATCCCACTGCTAGCAGCATGGTAAGTTATCCGTTACTGGGGTCCCGATCATCAATCTTTGGGAGCTTGGTAAGTTATGTCATTAAGTCGTTAAAATGGGTAAATCGGTTATGTTATGCAAGTTTTGATTCCTGACGCGTGCGTGTATAACTTCATGCCTTGCCCAATAGCACTACGAAGATCTAGAAAAAAGTACGTGGGAGACTACAAAAGAAATCCCTATAGTTGCCGTACTCGAAAACTCAAAGAGGCCATTGCTTACATCGTGGTGAAGAATTTTAAAATCTTGATGTTCGATGATTTATTTTATATTTTGATTATTTAGTGTATTTATATCCAGCATACTCTACTCCCATTGAACTGAATGCACTACCTCAGGTGTCAGTGCTGACGCCCCCTGGCGGGAGTGCGGGGCCCTCATGTCACTGGTTCACTGGCACGCCTGACCCTCAGCGCTCGGTCTTCAAGCCCTTCGTCTTCACCCCCAACGCCAGGATCTCGCCCTTCATAAAGAGCCCTGCTATTGAAAATGATCCGGCTAAGGCAAGTGGTGACCTCGCGTTCCTATATTCTAGTCAGTTTATTTATCCTAACATGATTTATTTTACCTATGCATTCATTTTTTAGGAACTTGTCCATTACTTGATTGCCAAACTTTTGCCAGCAGTACACGTTATGATCATTTTTCTAACAATCGATGTGAATATATTGTAGCAAATAACTTACTTTTGTGTTGGTTCTGCAGAAGACGCCTCGCTTCGAGCGCGCGGTCGACAGGTCGCACGTGCTGTACCGTCGTCAGCAGGCGGCGCTGAAGGCCGCTGCGGCCGAGACCGTGACAACGCTGCGTCAGCTCGAGGAGCAGTGCATCGAGGAGACGCTCAATACCCTCGGCAGCCTTGAACCAGGCTCCCTCTCGGAGCTTGACGACCTCTTTAAAGACTGCGTGGACTCAGAGCTCAAGTTCTATAAGTAAGGTCTCAGTCGCCAAGCTTTAGAAGCGAGAACTTCCCTGAAAATATCACTCACTTGAAGGGAGATGCGCTTCTTTGGAAACCACGTTTACAAAGATACTAAATGAATTTTCCCTCTTAGGTGCAGAATGTTCTGAATAGTTTGTGGATGCTTCAATCTCCGTCAATATTCATATTTTATTGTGCACTGAGTTTGAAATTTCAATAGCTTGGTTACCTTGTAATCGGTCATCCTAAATCTAAAATCTAATTCTCATTTAGTCTATTTCTTGAGCTGAGAAAGTTTTTTTTTTTTTTTTTGCTATTTGAAATTTAAAAAGGCAACGTTCTGTTCTCTCTAAATTCAATGCGACTTGCTCATGTATTAGAATCTCTGCACGTGATGGCTCGATTCTGTTCTTTAGTTATGTAAAGCAATTTGAATATCTAATTTAGTATGTATTTTCAAAAATAGCTATTAATAATTATTTATATTCAAAAAATTTTGATGAAGATGCCCAAAGTTGAACTTTATTATTCGATTTAACCAAAGTGGTATTACCAAAAATTGTTCATATTTTTCCATAACGACTCAGCTGGAGTTTGGTGCATTTAAGAAATCGAATTTCTCCGATGCAACTCTTACTGTTTATTAAGATTCCAAATGTTTTTCTCAGCAGCAATTCAAGTATCTTTAATAATTGTGTGTTCGAAGAAACAAACCGACCACCATCGGTAAACAGTAACGCAATTTTAACTGAATCTAAGCACATGATATGACTTTTGTCGGCTATCTTGTACTTTCTTATTCCGACATAACATGTAAAAGTTTCTTTCGCTGATTAATCTATTCCAATATTGTATGTCGTCTACTAACTGCGCTCTGGAAAGTTCTTTAAAAGTACATTCGAGGACGAATTGCATTGTGAAAAAGCCTTAATTTCTTTAAGCTATTAGCCGCAGGTTTCGTAGCAAACCTGATTCACCACATTAAGGATGAACTGTCGTAAGTGGTTTGACTGAATTGCCTCGTGTCTTGTACTAGATTCCTGTGTTGTTTTTTGCACATTCCAGTTGCATTAGTCTTAGTGTTTCGTATTGCATCTATTGCTTAGTTGACGACCAAGGTTTCGCCTCTATCGAAATTCCTTCCTATCACCAAAGATTTTTCTTTACGGTATATGGATAAAATTAGTTAATTTTATTGTTATTCGCTTTCAAATCCAACTTTATCTGCAAATGAGTTATTTGAAAGGAGTGATCTTTGAGGGAATATCAGTGAAGTCTTTAACTCTCGTCTGGGGAGTCTCTAACTCGTCATCGGGCACGCACTGGAACTTGAGTTTTAATCCTAATATAATTTACTACATTAGTTAACCATATCGTTCATCCTAAACTACTAGTCGCCTTAGGAACTGTGCCTGTGAGCATAGGAGTTCGTCAGTTAGTCCGTAAATATTCGGTCAAAAAGTGCATTGGTTGTCATTTTTCCTTAGCGTTGCGGATGAGTGGAGCATTGCTCATCAGAAGTTGATTCGGCGTCCTAAGTTTTATGTACTTTGAGAGAAATTGAAATTTGCACGCTAATTTGTAGCACGCTTTCGACTAATGCATATCGTAGGCATTTGATTGCAACCTACCTAGTAGTCTCATTTTCACTATAATAATTTCTTTGAACTCGCGTGCCTAGTTTCATTCTCTGAAATATGTTCCCCTAGTAAATTGGTCTTGCCAATATGTATCACATCTACGTCAGTCGTTTTAATAAGTTGGGAAGGGACCACTCGTTGGGAGGCACGAACTAAAGCCTGTCTATGAAAAATTTTCAAAAATTTTACCGTTGAGAAATGAAAACACTTTAGTTCTTCATTCCAGTGGCCTGTCGTACATTTTATTGAAGTTCAATCATTTTAATTTCGGTGGTTATTATTGCTTTTAATAAATTGGGGTGAATATCAAGGAAAGTCAAACTAATTTCCAAGTGATCATTGTACTTCCAACTCGTCCGATCATTTTACAGCGGGCCAAACAATAGAGTTCTGAGCTATAGTACATTATTTACACATCAAAATTGTTTCAACTTAAAAGCCGCATGACTGATAAATTCAACTTAAGCTATGAAAACTCATTTGACACGCATATTTCTTATTAAATATTTAGAATCTTAATTGCATTGAATCAGAAAAATTAAATAGCAGCAGGCGAAGCTGAGAGAAGAAGCAGAATAAATAACTGAAAAAGCGTATAATACTGAATTCGCTGAAAGAAACTTTAGCTTGATGACAACCGAGGGAGTGAAAGTTCAAAAGTGAAAGATTTGGATAGCAGGTCAACGTTGGTAAAGAATATTTGTGGGAAATGCATTATTATCTGCCGTGAAAATATCGCACATTTAGAACATCGGAAGTTAGAATGAGCTGTAACTTGGAAGATCAGTTTAAGAGCACAATCATTGACAGGACAACCGCAAATAGCTAAATCCAAACCATACCCAAGGGATAGGTAGCATTCAGCGTGACTAATTTCGGTGAACTCAGCTGCCGTTTATATAGCACTACCGTTCCACAAACGTGCATCGCTGTTTACAACTTCAATCCCCGTAACACAATTCCTTACGTGACACTCCCCCCAACAACACATCGCTACGAGTAACTTGCATATTCATCTTAATAAAACAATTCTACGCCCCAGCATTGGCCTTAACCATCTTCATGAGGGCTTGGGTGCTGAGAGATTTGGGTCTTTCAATGGGCAAACCAAGAGCGCGGTCCCAGATGAGAGATGACAAGCAGCCCAGCGCACGAGACACGCCGAAGAGGACTGTGTAGTAGGACATCTCCGTCATGCCATAGTACTGGAGCAGCACGCCTGAGTGGGCGTCTACGTTTGGCCAGGGGTTGGCTACTTTTCCTAGTTCCGTAAGGATGCCAGGCACCACCGTGTACACCTTAGACACAAGCTGTACGAACAACGCAACAGTTAAGAGTGGTAATTTTAGCGGAGGCCTCGTGCATTTTTTTTTTTTTGCCACTTTTCACTTAGGCCCAGATCAGGGTTAATCCAGATAATACGCTAGTAGTTCAATAATTAAAATAAAGAAATGTGCTAGTAGTTCTCAACAAATAGATGTACACTAAATCTTTAATGAAGAAGTAGATTTGCATTAATTACCTCGAATATTGCTAACGGTCTGAGTTACACAGAGATCGCACTTATTTATTACTTACCTTGAAGAGCTTGTCATCTGGAAGATGCTTGAGCGCAAACTCTCTCTGGCAGGTGTAGCGAGGGTCAGTTTTTCGCAGCACAGCGTGGCCATAGCCAGGCACAACCTGTGAACCAAAGCCGCAATAGAAAAACTGACTTAGCAGTCGACTTTCCAGCTTACTATGAGAGTAATTATTTTGGATATATCAATTAATGTCTCTGCGCAATGCAAGATTTGCCGGCCGATGTGGTAGAGAAAATTAAGGAAATGCGTGTGAGGTTCAAAAATCTAATATGATGAATAATATGAATTAACCAGATTGAAGATAATTTGAGTGCTTTCACACAAGTCTTGCACACGAGAATATAAATCCCAAAATGAACGGGCCAAAAATATTCTTAAATCGCGTGGAATCAATTTCAAGCACAAGAGTTACCTGGCCAGCTTTGAGTGTGCCCCAAATGAACTCCTTTAGCTGCTCTTCAGTTGCATCATCACCGACTTCCTTGCGCAGCTTAGTGAGCCAAACCAGAACCTGCAACAACAATGGCATTACACAACATCCATCCGTCCTTCAAACTGAGAAGGAGGTAGCTAAGCCAGTGCAGGTAGTAACCTTGGCGATATACGTTGCATTGCTGCTGTGACTGCTCAGGTTGGCGTCAATTGAGAATGCGGACCAAAAAAACTTCTCAAAACAATCATACGATAAGTCAACACCATGAAGCAATTCTAAAATGTTACGAGTTAGTATGTACAATTAGACAGGAACTTTAACTCGTAATAATTTCGAAGTAAAATATCCATTGAAAGATTTGAAAATAATAGCTAGACGCGCACCTCTTGGTTTGCAAGGCCGTGCAGAGGTCCAGCAAGACCGTTCATGCCGGCAGCAAATGAGAGGTACGGGTCGGAGAGAGCTGACCCCACCAAGTGGCACGTATGAGCCGACACATTGCCACCCTCATGATCACTGCAAACGAACGAATCTTTAGAATAGTTCCAACAAAAACTATAATTATTTATTATTTGAATCGGAAGCCAGAACATCGTTGCTTTAAAAGGTAATTTACAAATATCATGATAATACGAGCTGATTATCTAGCAAAAAAAACATGTTCTGCACGAATATCAAGTGTCTAGTTAGTGTGCCGTGCTTTGATCATATAATCTAGATTAAATCTTAGCAAGATTGATTTCACCGCTGAAAGGCGGTTTTAACGAGATATTCCACTACAGTCAATTTCCAGTCTTTACCTGTGGATGGTGAGATAGAGTCTCATGAGCTCAGTGAACTTTGGGTCTTCATAGCCCAGCATGTTGGTGAAGTTAGCACTCCAGTCAAGCTTGGGATCGATGGTGCTCACAGAAGATCCATCGCGATAAAGGTTGCGGTAAATTACAGCGGCGACGGTGGGTAGCTTTGCTATCAGATTCATGGAGTCCTCGTAGCACAGCTGCACAGATTCCATCGAGTCAGATTAAATGAAATGATCAAAAAAATATAACTCAGTACTCACGGCAGTGAGTGACAGAGCGCATTTTCTCGTGCAAAAATCAGTTTTCATTGCGATTAGTACAGTGCATTAGAGCTAGAGATGTATCTTTGATACGGGCATGCCCGCTTCTTAAAATAGACGAAAACGTGAAGTCACGGACGGACGGACAGACTGACGGACATGGCGAGCACAATAGTGCATTTTTTCTATAAAGAGAAAATGCGCTAAAAAGGGAGTTCACATTAAATTCACCTTCTGTTCAAGAGCATTCCACAGCAGCCTATGTCATCATATTGTGTAGGGAGCGATGCGATGCCCCCAAAAAAATACAATCTCGTCTAGTTCACTAACACAACATATACGAGTTCAACGTGACAAACATACGATTAAACAGCAATTTGACTCCCAGTAAATGTAGAGCTGAGATTTTGGAAAAGTGTCATCAATTATGAAGAACCCACCTCCCAGTACTTGGATTTAGCCACACCCTGAGCATATGCCTTAGCAAATTTGCTCTCGGAGTTCAGGGCCGTGATCGCAGCAGAGAACTGAGCCATAGGATGCAGTGCTGAGGGGAAGTTGTTGAGCATATTCAGCACATAGGGGGGAAGGTCTGCACGGTTAGCCCACTCCTCACTGAGACTATCAGCCTGCTTCTGAGTGGGGATATCACCAGTGAGCAGAAGCCAAAACGTTCCTTCAGGGAGAGGCTCTTCTCCACCAGCAGCTTTAGGAAGAAGTTTCTGGCACTCAGGAAGACTGTAGCCACGGAACCTGATGCCCTCTTCCGGGTCCAGCACAGATGTCTCCGTTACAAGGCCCTTGATGCCTCGCATGCCACCGTACATCTACACAATCATATTAATTAAATGCCTTAACTTTTGTACTCAAAATATTGATAATATAACAGGTAAGAATTCCATTAAAAGCATAAAGTGTGTCTGATCTATGCATGGGTGGCAGGTAAAAAATCAAATGAGTAACTTGATACCTACAATGAGACATAGTTCTACATGCTCGAGTTTCACTTTAAAATGAGCAGCTTGGAGGCATCCAATTAATTTTCATGAGTCAAATGAAGGTCACAATATTTTAATACAAGTGCCCTAATTCCCAGCCAGCCTTAAATGTGCAAACTTTTGAGACAATCTTATATTGGTGCTTAATTTTACAGAATTCCAAGACACAATCTTTAGCAAGATGCCACTGTGACAAAATGAATACAGACTCACCATGTCTACAGTGACCTGACCAACAGGAGTCTTGCCATGCTGCTTTCTAAATTCTTTAACTTCAGCCTGCATTGCAGGAACTTTTTCCATCATGACATCTTTAAGGCTGGAGCTTTCAGTTGAGTAGGGTTGAGCTCGGGTGCTGCATGACAAGGGACACACAGCCTGCAATATGATTAGTTATGATTTTAGGGATTATGGAGTTTCTTTTTAATGGATATAAATTTCTAATATATCTAGGTTCTTAGAAAAAATTTATTATGTCATCAACTTTTGCAGGCCATAATGGATGAAAAGGGCCATGTGCTCCCATTTATACTGGCAATAGATTCATACCACATGATGTTCACTTCAACTTGTGTTCAAACTCAAATACTAGTATTGACCTTTTTAAATCAATCATTACAGGCATGAGGAATAGAGTAAGTTAATTTTCAGTTGTTCATGGTCATTGATGACTAGTAAACAAATCACCATTTATTTATAAAAATGCTTGAATAAAAAATATAGATAGAATTAATTTCAATGAAAAACCATGCACTTCTGCATTCCCTTGAAATTTCCACAAATTAGGTTACAATCACTTCCAGGTTGTTTGCATCTGTTGATTGAGAGTGATGGTAATAATATTGAATGAAGAGCAAACAACATAGCAAGTTAGCAATAAAGAATGTGGTGGTTCACACAGTCTTTCCTACACTGACACATGATCACCTTGATGACTGTTGTGTTGTGCATGACATAAATAATGCAGGTTTCATTGAAGACCAGAGAGTATTTCTTATTGACAATTTTCTTATTGTTTTTCTCTATTCGGCGAATTAGGCTCTTGATAGGAACTGAAAAGTCAAATATCAGGTTTCCAAGGGACATTTTATTATAATTTTAATTATACGACGTTTCGAATGTAACTTCATTCATTATCAAGTACAGAGGACGAGTTTTGCAACAAGTGAATTTGAAATTTTGAAATGACATTAGTACAAACATAGATTTGTCAGGACGTTAAAATTGTTCTCGTAATTCAAGCTTTGATTCCAATCTGTATCCATAATACTCTATGTTTGTACTAATGTCATTTCAAAATTTCAAATTCACTTGTTGCAAAACTCGTCCTCTGTACTTGATAATGAATGAAGTTACATTCGAAACGTCGTAAAATTGAAATTATAATAAAATGTCCCTTGGAAACCTGATATTTGACTTTTCAGTTCCTATCAAGAGCCTAATTTGCCGAATAGAGAAAAACAATAAGAAAATTGTCAATAAGAAATACTCTCTGGTCTTCAATGAAACCTGCATTAAAGAAAATCTTCTGCCAAACTACACCAATGACATAAATAATGTGTATGAATCTTACTTCTGATGAATTTACAAAATTCTGGTGAACTGTGTATTCATCCATATCTACAAATAATTTCAAAATTTTGAGCTCCACCTTTGGAATTAGAAGGCTCATAATTCAGGGTCTTGGAATTGCAGCACTTTTCTTTGTCATATCTTCAGGTTTTATAACATGATATTGTGTATGAAAAGATTTTTATAATCCTTTGCCCACTTTTTGCTACTTAAGAGTTCAATTTCTTTTGTATCAATTTGATCATTCTATTAATTAAATTTTTATATATTTTACATGCTTGAAGTGATGAAAAAAGGTGTTATTCCTCTAAATTTTTGTCAATAAAACTATGATAAATTTAATTGTCATTTTCTAGTTGCAAATTTTCAAATGAAGTAAACCAATTGTATTATATATTGATTAGAAAAAATCAAACATGAATTTGTACCTATACAAATATAACAATTTCTTTCTCATAAATTTTTTAACATACCGATTTTAGCATTCATAATGCCACTGAGAAAATATTAATTTTATTTCGAGTCAAGAGTGAGTCAGTACTATCTGTTTCTGTCAAAAAGCTGTTGCAAAGGTAACTGGATCCCAAATTTACAAATTTTGTTAAATTATCTTCAAATTCATGGTTTAAAGATGGTGTCTATCCCAGTCCCACTACCTACTGATTTCTCAGTAGTCAATACGGTACTAAAATTCAAATACATACTATTCATTGACATTTATTTTCATGCAAACTTTAATGAAAAAAATTTAATTTCATTTTTTCCTAAAGTGATCAAATTTCATAACTAAATAGCAAGTATATATAACTGAGAACAAATTCTGTCAGAGATTGTTAATTATTTTCAAATTAATGAATCATTGTGGCAAAGCTGCCAAAGCAAAGAGTTTTTTAGACTCTCCCTCAAGTTCATTTTTGAGTCCTATAAGTAGTCCAGCAAAGTATCATGGATACCAGCAATACAGCATTATCATACATAAGAATTTGGTTTAAATATTGAGTCAACAAAGAAATGAAAAATGAACTGATTCTAAAAAATCTCTGGTTTGTCACTACTCACTATGCAGTATGCATTGAATGTTAATTAGGTAGCTAAGATAGTGGTAGGCCTAGATTGATCATTGATATTAACATAATTTTTTATTTCAGCTTAATTGAGTTAATATTTAAATTGAGGCCTTCAAATGCAAATTTTGTCTTAAATTCCATTACCCAATACTCAACAGGTACTAGCCTACTTATTGGCTATTGTCCAAGTTGCATAACTATAACTAGTAGCTATAAGTGCAAGCCATAAGTTACTAGGTAGGTAAATATATTGTAATTTATGAGAAGAAAATTCAAATTAAAAATTTTTAACAATTAATTTTTGACTGCATGTTGCTGATAACAGTCATAGAAAAAGCATTCCAACAACAGGAAATGCTGCTAGTCCTACAGTCCTACTTCACGAAATGAAACTTCGATGCCATCAATCTTGCCACATTATGCCTACACAGAGCTCAGCTGACAACGATCCCAGTCATGAGATCAAATCAAAACAATCGTAGCCTAGTTAGGACCAACTGAGCACCTTCGCCGGCTGCTTTCACCCATTATTTTTTCAAGTATAAAATAATCAATAAAAATAGCAACGTACCTGAGGGGAGCTCAAGGCCTTCGACACAACATTCCGAAAAAGAGACATGCCTGCTGAAAATAGTAAAAAAATAAATAATTTTACTGGAGCGCCGCGCAGCCAACCCTGGCACTGTCAGTCTAGAAATGAGTGTGATGTTAGGACAAGGTCACGTGACAGAATTCAGGACTACCAATCGCAAACTAAGATCAAATATCGGCAGCGTAATTTTTTTATCCCCACAACAATTTTAAATCGGGACTACTATATTCCGTATCACCACCAATTATCTGAGATATATTATTGATTGGAACCCGAACCGCTCTACATAAATTTGTTATCACGATGACATAATAAACTTACGTAAGCGGTTCCGACCTAATCACAGGGATTTATTCGAATCAAATAATGGAAAAAAGTTGAAAACAGATTATTTATTCCGGTTTCAGGATTACAGATTAAATTTCAAATTTAAATGAAATAATGAAATTATTTAAACTTGTATTCCGATTAGAAGAAAGTCGTGAGACATAGGTGCGATTACCGAACTAATGACAATTTGTTCTGATAATTCGCCCTGATGTATCTCCGTACAATTAGGATTCTACTAATATTCTGTTAAAATCAGCCCGAACAATCCTCAATGAAATCGATGATATCTCACATTTTAGGCCAGTCCCAAGTACTCCTTATGATAAATTTATCCCCCTGATCATGTAAATGCTAATGATACGGCCTCTGTGGTTGCTGCATTGATCAGAAATGGCGGCCGCAGCTCTTTAGGAATGATAATGATAGGACAAGAAGGCATTTTCATTTATATAATAATATTTATTCTACAGACATTGATAACTGATCAATTTTTTACAATGCATGTTACTAAGATCAATTACAATCTCTAACTCGATTAAAAAACGAATTCTCTAATTATATATACATACTGAGAGAGACGGCTGAGCACTGTTAATAAAAAATATTTGCATCTATCAAATAGTCTATGATAAAAATATTCTGCGGCAAACTGTGGAAGAGAATTTTTTCAATACATTTTTCGCAATTATATCTAACTTGACCCCACTTTCTTTCATTGTCTTTATGGTACATGTGTTTGGACCTTATGAGATCATCAACTATACTTTAAAAAAATAGAGCAATACATTATTTTTATATTTAACGCTGATCCCAGATATGAAAACCGATATTCACTAGTATTAATGCTACCTGTGTTTTATCAAAGACTACCTGAATTAAAAAATTATATACATATATATGTATCATTCTTATTGGTGACATAACATTGAGAAACCCTAATCAGCCATTAAAATTTAATTTAAGATTAAAATCACTGTGAAATGTATGTTATAATATACAGTTTGTTGGGCGACAAACACTAAATTATTGTCCTTTTCTTTCATATGAATAATAGTAGTGTCGCATCTTCAATTTCGCTCATAAGTAGAGGTCCATTTTACTTGATTGAACTACTGCAATTAGAATTTTCCGTGGCCGTGCTAAGAAAAAGTTTAAGCTGGTGAATAGTCACGGACTACAGCGAAGCTTGCTATTTAGCAATGGTTATAGTATTTTACGGACTTGTGCCGACAGCACAGACAACGCAAATAACAATAATGAGACCTGCGACAGAGATGTTGATGGTTGCTTATATTTAACGAATAATCTTAATTAGAGAGACGTGAATGATGTTCAGGTTATTGTTTATGTCTAGCAAATAACCTCAATCAGACAAGCGCCAATGATGTTCGTTTTAATATTTACTTATTATGATCTCGAGGAGTCGCCATACATTCGATTGGATATACAACAATTTATTCACAATAGCACCTCTAAACTCAAGTTATTAAATAACATCAACCCTTCTGAATTTTCTGTGTGCTTGTCAGAAGTATGTAGCTTATCACCTACGTATCACAAGATGCTCTGACATGCTCCTGATATCTTATCACTAAAGAACCATCGCGAATCACGATCAAGCGTCCACAAGGCTTGACATGCCAAGCGACGATTAAATGATCGCTGCTTTCAGTCGAATAGAATACATGATTAGAGTGACATTATAGGATCTCGATGGATAATACACGAATAAACCATAATTATTACCCTTCAGCGAGTAAACATTTTAATTAATTGTCAATTAAATCTCCATATAAATCTAAGGCGATATTGAAACGTATACTCAAAATATTTCGCCGAATCAGACAATTATTAGTAGCAGCCCGAGAATAGCATATATAAGAAGCCGAACCAAGTTATTTTAGTTATTTATTTTAGTTTTAGTTATTGGTCGCTGATTTGTTTTCAACTGCAAACATGTTAAATGTCAAGTGCATTGCACTCCAACATGACAAACGTATTAAGCTGTTTTCTGACCAAAAGATAACTGGGTTTTAATTATTACACAAATTTAACCCTTTAGCGGCCAATTTTCGTGCGAGATCATAACACCACTTTGCATCCATACATTATTGATAAAATTTATTATTTGAACAAATTTGACAGGTGACATATATGTCCACCTGGTCATAGCGCAGGCAGAAATTAAATGTGACATATTTGTCCAATTGCACGAATAAGCTTCGTTGATAACCAAAAAACGGCATTTTGAGAGGCGACATAGAAAGTACGTACAGCTATACGCTTTAGGGTTAAATAACATCGTCGTGCGCTTGCGCCGTATGTTCATACTCTACCGTCATGACTTTATTGTTCAAAAAATTAAAACAATTAATTATATCATTATTTTCCTAAATCGCATATTAAAAATATTTTGATTGCAAATAAATTCCAGGAAGTCATCCTAGCATCGCATACAGTTTATATCCGCTTAAATTGTTAATAGATAATTGATTTAACCACAATGTTACTTTGCTAACCTATTTGTTATTTAGGTTTTAATCTTCGCCGTATGAATTTTGATCGAGTATACATGTATGTATACTTGAATGTTTTCAGTGAATTATGCTACATATACTTAGCATTTTCTTTTGTAATACTTGGTCAAAAATTTTTATAATCACACTCATACTCTCAGAATACAAAAGATTTAAATTCAAACAACTACTCCAAGATCCAAAACATAAACCAAGTCATGAGATTACTTCTCTCTAATTCAAGCTACTTTGATGTAATAAAGCTCAAAGATTGTTAACAATGAAGCATAAAACATGTCGTCTTTACAACGAAAAACCCAAATAACATCAAAGACTTGGTCATGTACAGCTCGCACATCAAAGGCTCGGTCATGCACAGCTTGCACATCAAAGACTTGGTTGTGTGCAGCTTGCACATCAAAGGCTTGGTTGTGTGCAGCTTGCACATCAAAGGCTTGGTCATGCACAGCTTGCACATCAAAGGCTTGGTTGTGTGCAGCTCGCACATCAAAGGCTTGGTTTTTTAGGGTACATCTAGAATATCAAGGTGACTGTATTTGCCAAGGTGATTGTAGCATTTATCTAATATTTGTAAAAAAGTTTCAGTACAACCAGACATAAAAAATTTAGCAGAAGTAGATCTCAATAGCAATTGCCGGCCAAAAACGTCAAGCAGACGTAGATCTTAGTAACATTTGCCGATCAAAAACGTTTTCAAACTCTGATTTCAGTTGCATTTTCTGGCCAAAAACGTTGAGCAGACGTACATCTCATTTTCTCTTGCAGGACAAAAAATGTTTAAATAACGTAGATCTCAGTTGCACCTGCCGAAAGCGGCGCCGCAGAAGGGCTGGAGTGCAGGCTGGTCACAAGCCTGGCATGCTCGGGCTAGAGGTCGACAGCACAAGTAATGTTCCCGACAACACTTGGGCCACAGGTCCGGCGACATGTTACCGCACTGCTGACACTCGTGGCAGAAACCTGCACGCGTTAAATGATGAAGTCTAGGATGTCATCAAGCTATGCTTCAACAAAGAAAATAAAATGATCGCAAGTAACAGCTGTGTATGCCGTGGTATAATTTTTTTAAATTGATCTTAAGCACCAGAATTCTTGAATAATGAAAAGTTTCAAGTTCATTTTGGTTGAAAAAATGATCCTGATAAAAGTACAGCTTAATTTTGCATAAATACCTTTGATAAATGCAAGAAGAGTAGGGAGAAAAATCATGGACAAACTCATAATTAAATCCTCTAAAAGGCATACGAGTGCATTCAACCACCACGCAATTAATCATGAGTCTATTTTCAAATGAATCCATTTTTCATACTAAAATGACACTTGGTCGAGCGTTTTTCTCTTGTTACCTGTTCAAGCGCTAAGATCATACAGGTAGCATTCGTTATATTTGTCGTCTGTGGCACAGTTTGAAATTCACGTGACAATTAATGGAATACTCTTGTTTTTCTTTAACATGTTATGAGTCTGTGTGCTTGTGTTTATGAAACTCTAAGATTGATTCCTTTTAGCTTGTGGTTAAGTTTGGGTTTGTGGTTCCCTTCGTTGAACAAATCATATGCGGGCAAGATTTTTTAGAAATAATTTAGATACAATCCATTGAAACGATGCTAAAATATAGGAATTTAATGATCAACTTGAAGAAGAAATATTATTAATATCGTCGTCATTCGCTGCCTTATATTTATTAAACTCTGGATCAGAAATCGAATCGACCCATACAAACAGCATTTTCTGAGATCATCCGCAAAATTATTATACTCAAAGTAATTTTTTCAATAGAATAAATCTAAAACCCAAATTCAATTGTGATGATCACACATTTGGGTTCTGGGTCATCGTTCGAATGGCCTATCATAAATTCTTCCGAGTGATCGGCAGACATTCCTATGGAAAATTTTCAACATTTTCAATTTCTTTAGAATTCTCATTTTTGCTTATTTTTCTCCAGTCTATAACGTTTTTATTAACGGTCATGACTATTTCTGATCCACAATCTCAGGACTAACCTGAAGTGCAGGACATAGCGGTGGTGGCGAGATGCTTACGACAGGCGTCGCCGTTGACGCCGCGAGCGCAGATGCTCTGGCCGACCAAGTTGTCTCTCTGGAACACGAAATAGTATCAGCAAACTTCCGTTACCGGCTGGGCAACGCCTAACAATATCAGCGAACTTCCGTTACCGGCTGGCGGCTGGGCAACACCGAAACAGTGTCAGCAACTTCTGTTAACCGCTGGTCAACAAAAAAAAGTATCTGCAAACTTTCGTTACCTCCTATGCAGAAAAGGCCCAGCCATACGGACATCGGTAAAGGACTCGGCTGAATTTTCATGTAACAATGGTTTCATTCCAATCCGGGATTGGCATAATGATATAGAAATTTAAAAAAAGTAAGGAAAAAATTAGTTACTAATTTTTGCTTGAAATGGTAGTCAAGAAAATTTTCGCCATTATTTGCCATAAAAACATTTTGTTGGATGTAGGTTTGCAAGGAGCTGCAGATATGAAGAAGTGTTTGTATGATGAAATTTGACCTCGAATTTCAACTTAGTTTATTAGACTAAAATTTCTAGACAATTAGTAGCAAATATTTTTTCTTTCCGTCTGCAGACATTTAGAACTATTGAGATTCTCAAGCTAAGATTGCGACTATTTATTTGGCATAATTCTTCTTCATTTCTGTGCTACTCGACCACGAGGAGATAAATATTTGCCTGCCATAACTAATCAAATATTCAGCTAAATTGTAGACTAACCACATCAAATACTTCGTTGGTCTCAGTGGTGGTGGAGGGAGGCCTGGTGATAGGGTCCCGTGGAACCAAGTCCTGTTCACGCCCCCTGGAGCTCACGTCGAAGCTTGCCTTGACAGTCTCGTCTCCCTGGGGCGGACTTCCTCTGTTACGGATTGGTACCGTGGCCTGCGGCCTGGGAGTCGCTGCTCTACTGGTTTCTCTAGCGTCGCTAGGGATTTCTATTTGAGAAGCTTGAGGTCTCCCTGGCTCTCTTGCAGGAACTGTTCTAGCGGGAGTCACAGATGGTGCAATAGGAGCCCCTCGAGATGTGATTATCGGGTTGGGAGCTGGTGCTTCACGTAAAGGTGCAGGCCGCGCGGAAACGCTGCCAGATGGCGATGCTGATGTGGAAGATCGACTCCTAGCAGACGACGACTGAGGAGTGGCAACCCGCGACGACGAAAAAAAGTCTTCGAAATTGGCAGGCGAAGATCCTCGAATTCGAGTCGATGGTTGGTTGCTGAAGGTTGCTGTAAATGGGTTGGGATTTTGCGAAGAAGTGGATGCCGATGCGGAACGTTGAGAGTCAAAAGCGGGAATGACGTCACTAGCTCCCAAACCAATGCCAAGGGAGAAGGTTTGCGCGGACGTCATCGAAAAGAGCGAGACTAAAGTGACGAGTAGCATGGTGGATCCTCTACAGGAGCGCTGTCAGATCTGAACAAAAAGTGAAGAAGCATCATAAATTGAGATATGAAAAAAAACATTAATTATTTTAAGAACCACCTAATAAGATTCATTTTCATACAGAATAACAGCACGGGAATCTAGAATAATGAAAATTTCCAAAAATAGTTAAAATAATTTAGAATGATCTACAAGTGAAAGCCACATTAGTAAGAAATTATATTCCAAAAATTTATTAATATATTAGCAGCATGCGAATCTACTGAAACAAAATTTGCTAAAAGTGTCCACAAAAAGCGTTAAAACGTTCCAAAAATGAATGCCACATTGTAATAAATTATGCTGTAATAATTTAACCATAAAATTGTTTTTACGATTATATTTTTATGTTGTGAACCCGTCGAGCGCACTTGTATCGGTCTTTAGACACTCTAAATGATTCCATTCTTGCCGTTACTAGAAAGTTCGGATGTTTTCGGCATCATTAGCATTGGGAACGTACGAGCAAAAACCACACCACAAATTCATATAAAGTCAACTGAAACCCGCTCATCATAGCAAAGAGGAGAGAATTAAATGTATTTACAGGCAGCCCTCCTTGTGACCTTGACCGCAGCTGCTGCTGCTTTAGTACTGCAGTTATTGCAGCTGCTTGATGGCTGCAGCTCATGCTGCTTGATGCAGGAAAAGTAGGCTACTGTAGTTATTGCAGCTGCTTACTGCTCGTGCTGCTTGATGATGTAGTAGCCATAAGACTGCTTCGGTTGTTACAGCTGGTTGATGGCTGCAGCTCGTTTTGCTTGACGCTGCAGCTGTAGTATGGCTCATGCAGTTATTGCTGCTGCTATCAGCTCATGTTGCTAGTCTCTTTAATGCTACAGCAGTGAGTGCTGCTGCTGGCGAACTACAATGATGACTGCTGCAAATTCGACGGCAGTTTTTTTAGAATAAATTATTCGTAAGCTTATAGAATTTCGAGAGTCTTGGCGTTTGCTCTTGGGAATATGGCAATGCCACTCAACCACCACCACTCATACGAATGATACGAACATATGAGTGCAACTGTACCGACTACTACGAGGTACGGCTATCCATTACATAAATGTGAATTGTCTCTAATCAAGCACTATTAACGTGTTTCCTGGATTTCCCAGGACCTCTGAAGCCATTTATTGCCTAACACTTTCATGTTCCGTTTACGGTTCTGCAGTTTAACGGCACCTTATAGGAAAGACGTGGCGCCTGCGACGATAGTTCCATAAGGCCGATGACGAGAGGTCGAGTAATGAATACTCCATTTAAAAGGACCCTTAAGATAACCCCCAAATTCTCTCTCCTAAATCAGACAAGCGTGAGACATTAACACGGATTCCCACTTAACTAGTGCGTATTCCGAACAGCACTAATGCGTACAATATCTTATTCCTGTTGTTTTCTGCATCATGTAACACATCGAATAAAAAATTGTATTAATCGATTGAAGACGTACGTTTATTTCTGAACTGACATAATAACTGTATGAAAGCGATAGCAATATTCTCCATAATCAAAGAAAAAATTGTAGTGCGAACTCTAAAAGATACGTATCATTATGACAACTGACATGATTATGACACGTCTCATCTTTTACCTACACTACTCATGTTCACGCGAGCACCGCACTCTCATCAATCCAGAAAGTTATAACTTAACTTACATGAAGCTGTATCTGAACCGACCTCATGAAATGAATAACTCGGCAGGGCAAAAAAATTAGTGGGTCATCACTAATAAAAAATGTCAATAATAGTTCCACGATTCCATCTACTATTTGCAAAATTGAATTTGATATACAAAAGTCATGGATTAAGAATCGATATACTATGTATACCATCTGGTTATGGAAGTCAGCAATTCCTTAAGGATAAAAATTATGAATTTCAGAAGCATTAACTCCGAGAAATGTTGCTTGTGGAATTTAATGCATGCTGAACAGCGGGTAAAACTACAATGAATTTCTTATATTTTATTGAATTTTTAGTGTGAACAAGCACGATCTTGAGGATTACAATTTTCCATGGATGTCCAAATGGTCACGATTGCTGAGATAGCCACATGTTTTCGATGCTATGCAATTAGCAGCTCTAACTCTTCGCTTGTTTCTTGGGAAAGTGCAGATGCCTTATTTGTGCGTTGCGTGCCACGAAACAACTTGTTTGTTTTAGATGGACCAAAAAATACGATAGAAATTGTAGCCTTACAAGTGTTTCCTACCCTTAAACTAGCGACCTGGTCGGGTTGAGGGCTTCATCTGTATCCGTTTATGAGTCATTTTTTATCGCGAAAAAGTCCGTGACCATGACACAAATCGCGGAAAAAATGAAAATGTAGGGATATTGCATCTTTGTAACTTAAAGCCAAATTAATTTTTAAAAAATCGAGACCGGACCTATTCCATTTTTCACCAGGGAATTGGTAAGTAAATATTCCGCAGGAATGCCAAAGATTCAAATTATGATGGCTAAGACTAATTTTAGTGAGTGGAAATCATTCGAAGAGAAATAATTTTTGGTAACGAAAAAAAAAAAAAAGTTTGCCATTCTAAAAAAGTTTACTGTTTGCGCCATGTTTCTCAAGCTGTTTTGGAATTTACAAGCTAGAATATTAATTCAACATTCAAGATATTTCCAATTATGCATTCAGAAGCACGTTAAAATACATACAGGTTTAATAAAAAATTTTTGACCATGAACTCTTAGGTCGTTGTTTGCTCAGAAGAAACATCATCGGAGGCAATAATTGCGACATTAATAAATTCATGATTATTATTTATTTTTTAACGTATTTTGCTTCATCCTGCTAAATTTCCGATGCTTACCCAATCTTTCTAAGATTTAGTAACCTCAACCAAAAACTTATACTCAAGTTGGTGCGTTCAAGGACAGCTCGTACAGATTTCTATAGTAGGCGCTTAATGGTCCGTAAATTCCTAAATTCTATAACAGAAGTGCAAAGCTATTGCTGTCATAGCCACCTGTATCACTTCCAAGAAATGGTTATATGCGAATAAATAATTAAGCCGTGCGATAAAAGTTACATTTAAGCTAAAATATGTGAGGAGCGTTAGATGGAACTTAAGGATACTCATGCGGATTCTTACGCAAACTTTAAAAAACATTCAGTCTCCTTTAAATGATAAAATTTATTCACAACTTACCAATGCTTTCAGCCATGCATCACTTCGAATGATAGATTCAGGTAGACCCTTTGTCGAAAAACAAGGCTATTCCCACAAAATTAAACTTCCATTAATGTTCTTGACCACTTTTTACTGAATTAACTAAGGAGAAATCCTTAATTACCTAAAAGAATGATAACAAAAACACTTTTACACGTGGAAGAGGTTATGAATTAGAGTTAATGACGAGCGAAAGCGTGTAATGAGTTGCTATTCTCTAATGACCGACCAAATGAGAAGCCCGAATGGAGCTGGAAAATTTTATCATGCAAAGCATTTTTCATTGAATGGCATAAATATGCGGAAGCATCTGCAAAGTGCGTTCTTTTTTTGAAAATAAACGAATAAATGTCATGAATATGTTTCCTCCCATGGATTGTTTAGCTTTGAGAAGGCAAGATAATTAAAATTGAAAATAATTTTATAAACAATGATTATATTATTTCAGCAGGCATGGCACAACATAACAAAATCAAAGCCAACACGCAAAATATTCGAATTTATTAATTTTTAGACTTTCCAGTCTGAAACAACAGTTTTTTTTCTTGTCCCAAAACTCGTTTAAAGGAGTCGCTCAATTCGGAACATGAGATAGGGAGAATATTGTCAAAATGCAGCATAGAAATTTACTGAGGCATCGACAAATTTGATAACATAAACTACCTCAAAATTGATTGTTCCAAATAGTTGACTACTATTCTGAAATTATACTGCCATGGTCCTAAGCTTCCACACCACTCCAGTACGTTTTTTAAGCTTATCGTTGCACAAGTCCAAAGTGAGCGACACATCTTGCTCATAAACATCATCTGAAATGGTAACACAACACTTGCCATCAAAAAACGGTGGAATGTGTTTTCTTTTTATAACACATTCCATCTTTGAGAAAGATAAGTTTTTTTCGTCATATTTTCTGCCTATATACCACCTTTCTTCTGCATTTTAAACTCACACCGATAGTGGATCAAATATCTGCACTCTCATCTACGCTGCTCGGCCGCCAACACACTGACACCATCCCTCTAATGCATTTTCAACGCACACCCCCTTTGCACCGACTATCTATCATCTACCCTTTTCAACACTCTGCCCGTCATCACACCACCTCTCAAACACATTTTTAACATGCAGCACCAGTGCACCATCTATCTACCCCTTTTCACCACGCTGTCCGTCCTCACACCACCACTCAAACACATTTTCAACACACACCACCAGTGCACCATCTATCTACCCCTTTTCACCACGCTGCCCGTCCTCACACCACCTTTCAAACACATTTTCAGCACACAGCATCAGTGCATCATCTATATCTACCCCTTTTCACCACGCTGCCCGTCCTCACACCACCTTTCAAACACATTTTCAGCACACAGCACCAGTGCATCATCTATCTACCCCTTTTCACCACGCTGCCCGTCATCACACCACCGCTCAAACACATTTATAGCACACAGCTCCAGTGCACCATCTATCTACCCCTTTTCACCACGCTGGCCGTCTCACACCACCTGTCTGCACGCCGTCTACAAAGACATTCACTTTCACTGCCTATGCCCCGGTCGCCGAACGCCGGGCTACTTCCGCCCTCTCGTAGTGGCCGTTCGGCAGCAACACTTTCAACTGCATCGTAATGAACTAATAAGTAATAATAATTAACAGTACCAGCGTCGTGAAATATGTGTAGATAGACAAACAGAATTTCTTTTCTTAGAATTCGAAACTCTCTCCAAGATATTTCTTCTATTACTCGAGAATAATTTACTAATCTACCAAATTTTACAGTTGCATAAGAAGTTACATTTTCTAAGTC